TGCCAAGTCTTCTCATCTTGAAATTGTATTCCTCTGACTCATTTCTGCTTTTCCTGTGCATGATGCATTCAATGTCAGGAAGGGAACTGGACACAGGATCTGAGTCCTGGCTTCTCAGTGACAATACACTGCGTGAACCCCAGCAGCGGTGCTTCAGCCAGCCTCCAGAGCAGCATGGGCAAAGTAACAGCAGCCGAATGGCCCAGATAACTACTGTGGACTAGAAGGAATGGCCTACCAGGGGTTAAGAAGGTGGGTGTGGCACAGCTAGGCATGAGTCTAGTCCCATCTTGTAATGGTATATGGATATATGCTCTGGTCAAGCTATAGTTTTTTCTTCTGCAAAATAAGAATAATGACAGTGTGTGATTCACTTAATCTTCCAGTAAGGATTAACTGACCATTTGGAAGCAGAGGAGAGCTGCCAAACAAGGTCTTCTCAGAAGCCTCTACTCAGTGCTGCCTCCTTCACAAAGTACTCTGAAATCTGCCAGTTAAATGCTTTTCTTCCCTCTGTAGACTCTACCAGGATTCCTTTCTTGGGGTACTTATCCCTTTCTGCTCTGCATGCTGGTATTTATATCTGGAGCTCATTTCACTGAGTTAAAAAGAGCTAAAAACACAGACAGCTCTTGGAGGCTTTTGTAAGATGGATTTAGGCGTCATACACCATCCCTGTGGGATCCGAGCCTTGCTTAACCTTAGCATACTGGCCGTCTGGACACGGCCTCTCAGAGCTCCTCATACTCGCACGTGTGGTTCTCTGTACCTGGACTGTCCCAGTGGAGGGTCTCCAGACCCCTTAAATAACTGTTACCATGACTGGAAGCCTTTTCAGAATGTAAAGGCGCTTTTGAAAATGCAGAGTAACAAATGGGGCAGGCCTGCATCCCCGTGGGGGGATGGGTCATGACTTGGAGTATGCCAGTTTTAACCTTCAGTGTGCCAGTTTTAAGCACGATGGGTCCGTTGGCTTGGGGTTTGCTCCCTGGCTGCCAGCTGTTTTCCCTCCTCTTCCTAATGCGCTCGCTCCCCGTTGCTTGTTCCCAAAGCTGACTGAAAAGCCCGTAGGAGGGAAGTGATTAGAGGAACTTCAGCTGTTTTGCTCCTTCTGAATAGGCTCCTTTCATCACAAAATGCTGTGACAAGGGCCTTTTAAAGCCAAAATATCAGGGGAAGACAAGTGCCACAAAAGCTACTTGCTTTTTGGGTGGGACCATCACCCGAGAAGGACTCCACTGCAGTCCTGAAGAGACTCGCCAACCTCTTCCCTGCCGTCCTGGGTCCTGTGGACAGTGGCTGGCAGGCGCTCTACGACACAGAACAGAAGGGTGTTGAGATGTGAATCCAGCAATCATGAACCTTTTTTATTTTTCTGACTTCTGCATCTTCCTTCGGCCAACTCGATACCTCTGCAGTTCAGAGGTTTCCAGCCCACGTTAGTATGTATGACCGTTGCTCATTTGTCTTGTTGCCTTGGATGAGTTTCTGGATGGTGATGTTTATATTCCAAGGGCTGGGGTTGCTGAAGAGCATTGATTGAAGGTTTTGTCTGTCTCAGATGGTTTGTAGAAACTTTAATCTTGTAAAGTCACTCCAAGGGGCAATAATCAGTGTTTGATTTTAGTGTATATGCTGCCAAAATGAGCACAGTGATCAGTATTGGGGCACTTACTTGTATTGCCGAGGTAAATCATTTGGAGATACTGAGCAGGACAGCAGGGAAGGGAACCTCGGACTTGTCAGGGTTTCTCCTAAAGCAGGCAAGGAAGGTGACTTTGCTTTGTTTGTTTTTGTCTGGGTCCGACCTTCTGTTGTTCTTTCAGGGGCTCTTTTTAGAACACTAAACCGTTCGTGAGAAGGTTGAGCCTTCTGAGGCTGGGGTGGATGATAGGTATGTTTGTGGCTTCCTTGACCAGAGTACCTCGTAAAGATGTACCCATTACCACCATGGACTTTTCTTCTGTTTTTACTTTATAAATTTTAATTTGCAGTTCTAGGGATGGAACCCAGAGACTCACACATGCTGGGCAAGCACTCTCCCACAGAGCTACATACTCAGCCCACCAACATGCATTTCTTAAAGGATTTCCCTGACGGGCACTCTGAACTCCAATGAATCGGGGTACTGTGGCAGTATTAGAAGTTCAGCTGAGAAAACCATGCCACACCCTGGCTGTGAGGAATAGTGTTCATCATTCACTTCAAAGGCACACCAGGGTCTATGCGGAGTTCAAGACAGAAGCCAGGAAGCCATGAAAAGTACATGTATTTTGTTTGCATAAATCCCATCGCTGACCACACTCTGCAGCCTCCCACCCACTCTGCCAGCATTTCGGACCAGAGAGTCATCACGTATGGCTTTTTTCCCTGGACCCCTTACTGTATTCCCAGGATGCAAGGTGACCTCACCATGTAGGGATCGTGAGCTCTGGGCTTCCCTGCAGTGTTTGGTCTTGCTTCTTACAGTAACTGCCTGTGACTGATGGTCAGCACAGACCGAGGCCCCAGTCCCTACTGTGCCCTGACTTCACATGTGCAGGGAGGGCTCTGATTCGTGTTAGACTGAGGAATAGCTGGCTTCCTGGTGACCACAGGGTAAAGTCAGCCTGTTCTTTTGTGTCAGTTCCTCCCCACATCCTTTAATTAATTAATTTTTTCAGAGGAAATGTGAGGGAAACCAAGGGGAATTTTTACGTGTGATTTCCAAGGCAAAGGTCACTATCAATGGTTGACTGTTTCCAGAGTGCTCTGGTTTCTGGTCAGTGTGGATCTATTTTTGCAGGGGTGGGGGTGGGTTCAGATTCACAAACAAAAAAGGTTGACATTGCCTTGAAAAGACTGGCTGCTTTAATGAACTGATTGTTGTTTTAAGTTTCATAATTTGGGAATGCCTTGTGCGGCTCTTTGAGATTTGGATGTATATAGTAGTAAATGATCTGTTTCTTAAAAGAATAGTTCTGAAAACAGTCCTGGTTGTAGAATTCTAGTAAAGGGAAAGGTGACAAGTTTTAAGAGTAGAAAAATATTAGAATATTCTGCCTCTTGCTAAATTAGATGGCCTGGTCTTACATTGGCCAGATGGGTGCTGATGGGCTTCCTGTGGGTGAAAGTGAAACTGCAAAGAAAGAGTGCTTCTTATTCCCCACTGTGTGTAGTCCTGGGCGCCCCACCACCCAGGCTTGCAGCAGGGATCCATACGTGTGTCTGGGCCACAGAGCGGAAAGGAGGACCTGGCCGTCTGTGTGCGGTAACAGATGAGGAAGTGCCGCGCACACAGAGTGTTGGCACTTTCAAGTCACAAGCTGTCGATATCCAAAGGCCTGTACGAGGGGCAGAACCATACAGTTAAGCGTGGGAATGTCACCCAAAAAATTTTTTAAATCTTTATCGTGGAAGATCAGTTTTCCCTGAAGCTGCTGACTTTAAATACCATTCATAAGGCATTTTCTTAGCACTTATCCAGAGTTATATATGAGACTCAACTGAATTTTTAAATTTCAGGATTGTGATTTTGCTTCTTTATAGTATAGAAGATACTCTTGCATTTCTGGCAGAAATTCATTTTTAAAAGTACAGGACAGCTTTTTCTTAAAGGTTTACCCTTCAAATCACTTATATGTTAATTGATTTTGTTTGTTTGTTTTGGAAACGGTCTCACTGTGCAGTTCAGGCTGGGCTGGAACCTACTATGGAACCCAGGCTGGCCTTGAACTCCTGCCTCAGTCTCCCGAGTACTGAGTTTATAGACATATAGCACCTTACACAGCTTATAGATTGTTATATTTTATAATTTCCTGTAATTTGAACCTTAATTTTTTTTTAATTTATGTATTTTTGAGAGAAAGTCTGGATAGCTCAGGCTGGCCTTGAAGTCCCTGTGTAGGCCAGGCTGGCCTCAAACTTGCTAGGAGCCTCTCAAGTACTGGGATTACAGGCATGCACCACCACACCCAGCTTAAAAAAAAAATCTAAAGAATGCTCTCTATTACTCTGAAAAGCAAACAAAAAGCCATTTAAAAAAATTAATGTGTGTAATGGGAAATTTGGAAAGTATTATAAAGTAGGAAAAAGATAATCATAGATGGTCCAATGACTGAAAACTGTTAATAATTTTGGAATATTTTATGTGTGATTTTCAGAGTTCAGGATATTTTTGAATAATTGCTGGTAATTAATAGCTGTGGCTTTCTTTTTGAAACAGAGTCTCATTTATGTAGTTCTGGCTGGCCTTAATCTCACAGCAATCCTCCTGCCTCAGCTTGTGGAATGCTGGGATTACAGGCATGTGCCACCACCTAACCCTTCTTTTGTAATGTTTTAATTTCTGCATAAACTGAAGATTTTTTTTTTAAAAATAGCCAAATTATGAAAATAAAAAAATTTAAATTGTAATTTTAAAGTTACTGGTTGAATATTTTTGCTGGTTAAAATATTTAGAAAGGCCATAGATTGATTCCACTGAGCCATCCAGTAGGCAGAGTAACCTTAACCAAGTTACATCACAGGTTTGGTCACCCAGCTTTCCTTATTTATTTATTTTTAGTGATGGTTTGTTCTGTTTGGAATACTAGGGATTAAACCACACAAGTTCTCTACATCCCCAGCTCCTTGCAACATGTTTCTAAGGTATAGACTACTCGTTTTATTTGCCTTATATCCCATCAAGAAAGCAGTGACATTATTAAAAGTCAGGGATTTAGAAGCCAAGGCCATAGCAAGAATGTGAAAGATGGCAGAGTGGACTACCTTCTCGCATCAGGGTACTCTCTCTCTCTTTGCTGCAGTGAGCTTGCCTCCAGGATTCAACAGGCAGGGGCTCTTGGCCGTGGCAGCGCCCTGTGGAACATGGAGTGGTTTAACAGAAGCATTATTCATCGCGAAGCTGCAGCAAGCATTTTATATATCATTTGTCTACTTTGTGCTTTTCCTCTGCATTATGTCTTGGCCTGTTTTCCTCTGAATTCATTCTAAACTGTGGTCCAATTTTTTTCTTCCAGCTTAAGTGAGAGTTTTTTCATGGTGAAAGGAGCAGCCCTCTTCTTACAGCAGGGAAACAGCCCTCAGGGCCAGCGGAGTCTTCAGCATCCCCACAAACATGCAGGTGACAACTCTGTCTTGATGCTCTTGAATTGCGTCTTCTTTTCTGTCCAACTGAGGAACTTCCATGGTTGGGGCAAGTGGTTTGCTGGGTCTCAAGGACAGAGAAATAATAGAACAGAGGTTTATAATGATAAGTACTCTTTGCTGGCCCTGAGAGCTGGTGTAAGTTTTTAAGCTGTGTGTGTTGGGCTAGGGATTTAGCTCAGCAGCACAAGCACCTGCTTGGCAAGCACAAGGTTCTGAGTTTGATATCCAGTACCAAAATAAAATAAAATAAACTGTGTGACACCACCTGAGAAACAAGGTGGCCAGCAGTGCCCCGTTGGGATTTGAAGATTTCCTATGCACAGTTTATTTGTTAACTGCAGATTTCAGTTACTGTCTGATGTGTAAACAAATGCACTCAAATGCATCCTAGCCAGATACCGTCCCCTGGGAAATAAGCACTTAGAGTAACATATACTTAGTGTAGAGGTGCTGTCATTTCCTGACAATATGAAAAACTCTCATTTGTGTGTGTGTGTATATATACACACACACACACACAATGAACTGTTATTCAGTAATAACAAAATTTTGTCATTTTGTCATTTTTGAAGAATAGATGATGGGCCCAGGGATTTAGCTCAGCAGCATAAGTGCCTGCCTTGCAAGCACTTGGTCGTGAGTTCAATCCCTGGTACCAAAAAAAAAAAAGAATAGTTGGATCTGGAGAGCATTATGTTGAGCAAAATAAGCCAGACTCACAAAGACAAATACTGTGTTCTCCCAGTATGTGGGATCTAAATAAAGATGGCAAGAAAGTAGAAGAAAGACTATTAGTAGACAAGAGGAAGGGAATGGGGGGGGGGAGTATAAGAGCAAGTAGCAAAATGAATGGATATGATCAAAAATATTTGCACTGAAACCCCCCAACGTGTGAGAGTATGAGGCATGCAGGCGAAAGGGGGTGCAGATCCCAAGGTATGTTATATGTATGTCCAAATCTGCCAGAATGGAACCCACCAATATGTGTAACTGGTATATACTAATAAAAAGGCCTGAAACAGAAGAATCCCAATCATTACCAGTAAGAAAAAAAATCTTTTATTTACTCTGAAGGAGCTAATGCTGTCTTCTTTGTCAACATATAAATATAATGAGCTATAAATATTAAAAAGAAAAGAAACACCGTCGTCTGAGGAATTTCTTTAAGAGTCTTTGGCTCGCACTCCGAGTAGTCTTTGTGGTGATGTTTTTATTCTATAGTGGCCAGTTCTGGATCATGGAATGGGGCAGAAGTAATAAAGTGGGGATCAAACTGGATATTTCAGACTAGTAACAAATGCCGTGGAATGATAAGGCCACATGTCGTAGGCTCTGAAACTGAAGGCAGTTTGAAAAGAGGAATTCAGTAAACACTGGCGTACAAGGGGATCTTTGTCACAGGCCGTGACCTTTCAGGACAGGCCACACCGGGTTGAGTGTCTGAGCTGTGAAGGCTGTTACCTTCCAGAACAGCAGCAAGTGAAACTGTTGAGTGATCGGGGCTGGCTTTCTTGTTGTCTGTGATCCGTTTTGTTTTGTTTTTGTTTTGCTTAATCTGAAGTTGTGCAGCTTTATATTTGAACTGAGTGCCCAGATTAGAATTCTGTACTTTACAATCTGTAGTAAACACCACAGCTCAGTCAGTGTTTTCACAGACGGACACTTACAATCTAGATTAAGGTCTGTTTTAAGGTATGAAAATAACTGTCCTAAACGAGGAGGCAGTGTGCCTTGTGGGAAGAATATCTGCTTTGAGGTCAGACAGACTTGTCTTCTTAGTCCAGTTCTGTGATTCACTAAGCAGTCAGAGCTGATTCTTTTCTTTTTTAAGAGACAGGGTCTTGCTGTGTAGCTCAGGCTGGCCTTGGACTTGAACCAGTCCTCCTGCTTCAACCTCTCGTGTGTTGGGACTACGGATGTGCTCTGCCACGCCTGGCTCATAGTTGACTTCTGAGCCTTGGTTTCCTCACTTTACAATAGGCATCAAATATCTCAGGAAACATCCAAATGTAAAATTATGCGTGTAACACACCAATCACCAAGTAGGTGCTGGTACAGCGGTGGCTGGTTATTACTACAGTGACTCCTTTACTGTAGTAAAACTACATACACCGTAAGCCAGGCATGGTAACACATGCCTACAATCCCAGGACTCTAGGAGGCTCTGGTGGAAGACCACAGGTTAGACCAAAGTGAGCTCTTCATGACTTAGTCAAGACCCTGTCTCAAAATAAATAATTGAATAAGTCTGGGGATATAAGTCAATGTGAGACTGTGTTCAGTCTCAAGCAAAAATAAATGAATGAATGAATAAAAATAAAATTTAAGAATTGAGTTAAAGCTGTATTCAGAAACGTCGTTCCTGGGTTTGCTAATTGTTCTGCCCCTTAGGTATCCAGCCATTGTTCATTCTTACCTGTGACACATGCAAAACAGTGAGTGCCCAGGCTTTGCTAAGTAGGTGCGTAGCGTCTGCAGTTACTTGGGGAAGTAAGTACAAAACCACTCTGTAGCAAACTCAAGTGAGATTGGCCCCGGATCTCTTGAATGCACCGGAGGCTCAGGAGAAAGGCTGTGACTAGTTGGCTGATTTGCTCCTGAAGCTTGAAATACAGTGAACTCAGGAAGGCAGAAAGACGGTTACTCTCTGAGGTTGCTCAGCACATGACCTTGACGTAGGGACAGACTAGACTTCTTCTTTCTTTCTTTTAGTACTGGGGATTGAACTAAGGACCTCGCAATTGCCAGGCAGGCACTTGCACTGCTGAGCTAAACCTTAACCAGACTAGACTTTACATTAGTTCCTTTTCTCCCTAGAATTACCATCAGGTCCACCCAGTAATCACTGCAGGTTGAGTACAATAAGGGTTAATTCTGTTCATGAAAAAGTAATGCAATGGGGTCCAGCCGGACAGTCAATAACACGTCCTTCACAGGGCCTGTACTGGAGGCTTGTGGCCTCTGATTTTTGTGTGTGTGGATGTCAGAGGGGTTTGGATTTCTGTCTGTCAACAGTTCCACACCTCAGCAGGTAATGTTACTCAGAGGAGTTACCTGTGTGGAAAATGTGCCAGCACTGATCATACATGGGAGTGGGGTTTGCTTTCGTTCGTGGTTCTGAGACCTGGGGTGGGTGGTGAGAGACCTGAATCAGTTGAGAACCAGCCTGCTGGCTAGATGACCTCATGGCACTGGAGACAAAACAAGTGGGTGCCCATAGGTGGAGGAATGGAGGGTGGGCCCCCGTGTCCTTCTTTACCATGAACCAGTATCTCCAAATCATTCTTTACAGAGAGCCACACTATTGGAGGGTGTTTTACACTGTGGAACCCCATTACTGGTGAATTCAGATGAGGCGGTTTTCTTCCTTTCTTTTTTTAAATTTTACTTATTGCAGAAAGAGCACTTAATGTGAAATCTATCCTCCTAACTAGCCGGGCTAGTATCTACTTAGCTAATTCCTTTCTGAGACAGGAAGTATAATTTTGACATCAACTTTCATTCTACCTTAAAATAAAAAAGATATATTTGTAATAGAAACAAATGCTGTGTTTTCATTTGGAGTGTTTGAGTATATGAGCAGTATTGACTTTTCCCAGGGTTCTCGTTTGTTCTATAGGGTAATTTTTCAAGTAATTTTTTTTTTGTCTTTTTCATTTTGTATCAATACTGGGGATCGAACTCACGACTACACACTTGCAAGGCAGGTGCTTATGCTGCTGAGCTAAATCCCCAGCCCTCTATAGGGTAATTTTTAAAGAACAGATAATATAGTTTCTTGGGGGTATTGCACAAAGTTGAAATTGATGACTTTTTTAATGGATTATACCTTGTAACTTTTTCTGAGGTCATTACTCCATGCATGCATTAAGAAAATTGCATAGCTGGATACCTGTAATTCCAGCTGTTGGAAGGCTGAGGCAGAAAGTTTATGAGCTTCAGCCAGCTTGGGCTATATAGCAAGACCCTGTCTCAAAATAAAATGTAAAATTAGAACGTTGGAGATAGGCTCAGTGCTTGCCTTGCATGCTCAAGATGCTGGAGTTTGATCCCCAGGATGGAGGGATTGAGGGAGGGAGAAAATTGAATAAGCAAGGAAAAAAATAGAGAAAAAATTGCATTTGCTGTTTACTGATGCCCCTCAGTTACGAAGGCCGCCTCCACCTGGAACGCCATCCCTCCTTTGGTTAGTGCTTCTGTCAGCTGTGGTGGCTTAGCACTTGTAAAACCCCAAGCTAGAGATACCTCCTGGACCCTGGAGTGGCTCTGGAAAGTTCAGAAGCCTGCCCTGCCAGGCTCAGTGGCATGTGTCTAGTTCCAGCTATACAGGAGGCAGAGGCAGGAGGCTCCAGGAGCTCCAGGGCTAACCTGGGCAACCTAGCAAGACCACATCTCAGTGGAAAAAAATTTTAAAGCCTTAGATTATTGCCTTTTGTAAATAATGAAGATTAAAAAAAGATAATATGTAGTTTTTAGCCAGAAAAGAACAATGAACAAATTGTTATCAAATTATTTCTCTGGGTACCTATTGTAAAGCCAACATCTGTAGAGATATTCAAGCTATTTCCTCCCAGGTGTAAAAAATATTGTTCTTCTGAAAAGTGCAGAGTTGGGAGAGAAAATATTACTCAGTACTTTTTCTTTCAGATATTTTTTTGTTGTTGTTGTACTGTGCTGTGCTGTGTTGTGTGTGTCTGAGACAGTTTCCCCCATGTCTGTTATCCCAGCACTCAAGAGCCTGAGGCAGGAGGATTGCCATGAGTTTTGAGGCCATCCTGAGCTACATAGAGGCCAGCCAGAACTACATAGTGAGACCCTGTCTCCAAAAAGAGAGCGAGACAGTCTCCTTATAGCTCAGGCTGACTTGAGCTTGTGGCAACCTTTGGGCCTCAGCCTCCTGAGTGCCGGGGGACCACCATCCGGGCTTCTCTCAGATAACTCTTCGCAAATGCCTTATTTCAGCCACACCTGCCTCCCACCTTGCCAAATGTTTGCTTCAACAAAGTAACATTTTTCTCTAGACTTCTCTGTGTTTTCCAAATTCTGTATCAAAAACGCCCACGTTGGGGATATTTCAGAAAATGAGAGTAAGGGCAGCCCTACTACAAGCTATAAATCCAGAGGGGAGTAAGGGAGATGCAGACAGGAGTTTTTCTAACATCTCTGCTGTGCTGTAGGTAGATTCTCACTTCAGATTCTTTCAGGCCCTCAAAGTCAGCATCTAGGTTTCTTCCTAGGAAGTTGGTGGGTAACTTAACACTTTCTACTTTGGTCCCACAGGCGACCTGCCCCAACATCTGCAAGTAATGATCAACCTTCTGCGTTGTGAAGACAGAATCAAGCTGGTAAGAAGAGATCAAAGTGGCAAGTTTTCGTTTTTAATTGTGGAATTTGTTGGGGAGGCATTCGTAAAGAGGAAGGTGAAAGGCTCTCCCACAGTGATCCCAAGATCTAACACCAGGCTGGGGTGCAGCTCAACGCAGAACATTCGCTTAGCCTGTACAGGGTCCTGGGTTCCATCCCTGGCACCAAAAAAACCCAAAAAAGCCGAAAGCCCATGTGCTCCACGGAGCCAGAGGAGGGTGTGTCAGGCTCTGCTCAATGCCGTCTTCTGTCTCTAGGTTTCATTTGTGTACTCATTTTACATGTTCTGAGTGGCCCCTCTGAGTTGGGCACTGTTCCTGCGTTACAGGTGAAGTGAAACCTGGTTCTTGCTCAGAAATACTTCATCTTTCTCTCTTCTCTTGTTCCTTCATGGAGAGAATAGGAAAGTACTAAAGTTCTTGGTTTATTTATTTATTTATTTAAGTGCTGGGGATTAAACCTGGAGCCTTTATAATGAGCTTCATCCCCAGCAGTTTTAATTTTTAACTTTGAGAGGGTCTTACACAAGTCACTGAGTTGTGCCAGACTGGCCTGGAACTTGTGATCTCTCTGCCTCAGCCTCCCCAAGTGCTGAGATCATAGGCATGCACCACCACATCTTGCTGAGTTCTTGGTCTTGGTTTGGTGGAGGAGGGAGGGTGGGGAGGGCTGTCCTGGAGAGCAGACCAGTGAGGACATCCCTGCCCAATGCAGGCCGTGCGCTTAGAGAGCGCCTGGGCGGATCGCGTCCGCTACATGGTGGTGGTGTACAGCAGCGGGCGCCAGGACACCGAAGAGAATATCTTGCTGGGAGTTGACTTCTCCAGTAAGGAAAGGTGAGTCTCATGGGATGGTGATTCCCTTGGGAGAGGGACAAGGTTTCCGTGGTATCCCATATTCCTGGGAGATGAGCATAAGAGAACAGGAAGGTTGAAGCCCTGGGAGGAGGAGAGTGTATCCTTTCAACCATTGTGCACAGGGTGCAGTGTCAGATGCAGTCTTGCTGTAAGGGAACTTAGAGTATATTGAGAAGACTAAAAAGTACATGGTACTTTTAACACTGGGAGCTATAGAAGAAGAAGAGCATCTGTCTGTTTTCTGTTGCTATCAGAAAATACTCAAGTCTGGGTATTTTAGAAAGAAAAGAAGTTTATTTAGCTCACTGTTTTGGATGCTGAAAGTCCAAGATGAGCAGCGCCATCTGGTTGGTGTCTGGTAAGGTTCTGATGGCAGATGGCATCCCAGTGGTGGGAGTATGTGTAATAAAGATTGCGTGGCAAGAGAGGAAACCAGAGAGCTCCAGGGTCAGGCTTGGTCTTTTCATAACAGCTTGCTCTGGTGCTGGTAGAACATGTGCGTAGCATGTATGCAAACTAACTTGCCCTGTGACACCAACCTGAATTCCTTCCACAATGAAGCTGTGACCTAATCACCTTCTACTAGGCCTAGCCCCTTGAAGGGTCCACCACCTCGGACTACCATACCAGGGACCAAGCTTCCAGCACATAGACCTTCAGGAAACACTCAACCCTTATGCAAACCTTAGCAAGTTGCACCCAAGCCTGGAAGCTCCCTGAAGGAAGAGACAGCTGTGCTGCACAGCAGGATAAGCCAGAGTCAGCAGCAGAGGCAGGGAGGGTGCTTTCCAGGTTGGCAGGCACAGAGGGCACTGTCCAGTCCATATGGCAGAAGGTACCTGCTGGCGTCACATCAAATACCTGGCCTAGAAGGGTAGTACCACAGGGCCTCGAGTACTTTGGCGCAGGTCCCTATCAGTGGCTTTAAGAGCAGCTTGCCGTTCCCTAGTTCTGTGGGCCCCTGGAGTTCTATCATGGACCTGTTCCATGTGTAAACTGTTCACCTGACATTTGGGATATGCTCCTGCCAACCATGGATCTGTGAAAACTAGATCAAAGCAAACTCCTTCCTCATTGCTATTAATCTACTCATTGATTGAGCAAATAGCTTGCTGGCTTCCTCTGGTACATCAGGTAGTTAGGCCAGGGGACGAAGAAGCAGCAGCACGCAATTCTTGGCCTCAGAGAGATGTCAGCTAGCTTGGCAGACACCTGTCACTAACTCTGAAGGTGAGACATTCAGTGACAGGGAGACACCCACACTTCTGTGGAGTGGGTGCAAGCCAGAGGAGCTGGTGCTCTTCACCCAGGTCTTACCAGACCAATTGGCAGCAAGGCAAGTTCAGGGGTGGGCAGGGCCAGGCAAAGTCTGGAGCAGAAGAAATCCCAGAGGCTGTGAATGGCCATGGTTAGGGGACGGTTGGGTCTGCTTGGTGTGAGCAAGCTGCTCTGAGTCACAGGTGGTGACTCTGCTCTGTGGCTTTTTAGGACTGCTTCTGTGGTATTTCCCCGCAGCACCTCATTGCATCATTTAAAAGTTTTCTGCAGCATATTTCAGTGGATCAGAGTTGGAGCTGGCACCTGTGCCTCTGGGCTATTTGGGAATTAAGTGTGGGTGAACACACGGTGCATCCTATACCAGGAGTTGAGATTAAAGAGCCACGTGGAGACTAGAGGGTTTAGGGCATTGTGGCGGGTGCTGCCAAGCAGGTGCTCCCTGACATGGTGAGGGTCCTTCTTGGGGTTGTGAAGCAGACACATTCTGTGTTTTAAGTGATGCAACTACAGTTGTTCACATTACTACCCAGTCCTTGGGAAATCTTTTAGGAGCAGATACTTCTCACTGTCAAAGTCTGTTTAGTAATCTCTTTCACCCTGAACCAAAACCTGCCTCCCTTGGGCTGTACCAGTGATGCTGATCCTGGCATCTTTGGCTAAAGCTGCAAAGTACAACACAGTTGAACAAAGGCCCTACGGACCTCTCCTTTAACCCTTAAATTTCCCTGTGAGTGGGGAGCCCTGCCTGTCATTGTACAGGTGAGGACTCAAGCTCAGGACGCTGGAGTGAGCACACCAGGGTCTTCCTGGTAAGTAGCAGGCAAGGACCTGGGCTTGGGGAGACCCCCTAGTGCTGCTCCCAGTATGCTGGGGAACCTTCCCATGCACTGGCCCATTCATTCATGGATTGATCTCATGTGTACCTGTTAGCGTGTTCTTTATGCCAGGGCTCATAAGGCACAAGAGACCTGACCTGTAGTGTCACAGACTGAAGTCACAGTGTGTTAGATGTACACATGTGCACTCAAGTTTGTCCTTACGAGCTGGGTAGATGGCTGGGCTTATCTTCTCATCCCCTCTTGACTAGCTCTCCACTTCTGCCCTTCCTCCTTCTGCCTCCCATTGGCACCTAGCTCAGCGTCTCTTGGAGGCCTCTCTTTCAGCAGACTTCATCCCTCCTCCATGATCTGCCCTCAGCCCAGCCTCTCTCTGTATTGAACTAGAGCACAGCCTGCCTTCAGGTGCCCCTCGCAGTGTGCCGCAGGTCTCCTGTGGCTGGACTAACGCGGACCGGAACCTGAGGGACTCCTTGTTGGAAGGCCTGATGCAGCTTCAGTGCGGGCCCTCCATGCCTAGGAGTTATGGGGACCCCGGCAGTGGGTATACTTCTGTACATTGTACAGCTCTGGGCTCTCATACTCTTCCTTGCTCTGAAACGAAATCCAAGCCCTTGCCAAAAGCCTTTGGCCTATTAATATTGCTGTTTTTTTAAATTTGTGCTTTGAGATTTTGTTCCCTTTGGTCTAAAAGAGAAAGAGGGAAAGAGGAAGGGAGGGAGGGAGAGATGAGCATTACTTCAGCAGGGGGCCTCATGGGTTCCTGGTGATGGGGGGCCCCTCCTGTTAGGAAAGAGCTTGGGATGGTGGCAATTCTTGGTGGCTCACACACACTATGACAGGGCAGTCACTCCTGGATTTGCTCTTGGGTTAATTTTCATTTCAGATGGAGGAACATTTTGAGTGCTGTGGGCAGGCACCACTGTCCTCCATGTGTTAGTGTCTTTCCATTGTAGAGATCTTCCAAAACAGACCCTGTGAAAGGGCTGCCCCCTGCTTACACCCTGTTCCTTTCGAACAGACTGCAGGGACTTGAACCTGTGTTCTGCTTTAGTTGCTCCACCTCAAGTCCCATTTTATGCTCTGGGTCATGCTTTCTCTGAAAAGATCCCTTTTCCCTAAGTGTATACATCCCTTTCCTACTTTCCATTTATTCCTGATCCTGGGCCTGAGCTCTGGGTGCCCAGCCTGTGCTCCCTGTACCTCTCTCTGCCATAACTGCCACTCTTTACTAATCCTGGCTTAAGTTTATCAGAACTCAGCTCAGGCCTTTCCCACCTGCTTACAGATTTGCAGGGCAGGCTTTTGAGCTTTCTGCCTTATCAGATTCAAGCTCCAAAGGGCGAGTCTGTCCTGGTATGGACAGGGCTGAGTAGTTTGGAGAGCCCTGTAAGGCTCAACACAAATTTTATTTTGCAGCTTTACAAGAGAAATACATTAAGCCCACCAAGACTAGATAGGACTTCAAGGGGGCATGGAGGGCAAAGACAGTCTGCTCAACCCAAGGCTTAGGCCTTGAAATGCCCTTACCTTTAGAGACAACACCCAGGGTTGCAAGGGGTCTGCAGGGTGAGCAGTGCTCTGATAGAGGGGCCAGTTCCTCGTCACCTGAGCTTCCTGTCCCCACACACATGTGAGCAAGTGCAGCCAGTTCCCAAGGGGCTGCTAAGCAGTGAGATGTGAGCTCCAGATTGCTGATGGGTAACGGGCCAGCCCTTGGCACTGTTGCAGCAGCTTGTCACAAGCCAACCCTTTTTTAACTGCCTAAAGAATTTTCATAAGAATCCGAGAAGCCCCTCTGATAAGCCCTTTCTTTCCCTCTGTTTCAGTGGCGCCAGTGTCTAGAATCACTGAGTATCATTTCACTGTTAGCATGGGCAAACAGAACCAGATCCAGCTAGTTTATAAAATGGTAGCTGCGTAGAAAACCAGATGTCTGAAAGTGAACTGTTCTCCTCTATTCCAGTCTCCCCAGGACTATTGAGGCTGGGGTTGGCTGCCACCATTTGCCTGTGCATCTCAGCTGGGTCTGGTCCCCCACCAGCACAGCACCAGCCATCCCACCTTCTCCCTGCTGAAGTGTGGGCACTTGGTCAGTTGGTTACTCCTGAGCCCCAAGAGCCTCTGGTTGATAGAGTTCCATCCACGCAAAAAACGATGCAGCCACTTGTTGACTCCCTGTAGCACAGTCAGCCCAGACCTGTGTTTTCTAGAATTCATTGATGAGTGGTGCCTGCCCAGTTATCCAGAGTGCTTCTGCCTGTCCACACCCAGCAGCCTGCCCCAGCTCAGTGGACTCATCTGTGAGCTAGGCAGGTAGGGTGAGGAGAGCGGAGAAGTCCGCACATGCTTGATAGTGGACACTGACTCCAGTGTCTTCTCTTGTCACCTTGCAGTAAGAGCTGCACCATCGGGATGGTTCTCCGACTATGGAGTGACACGAAGATCCACCTCGATGGAGATGGGTAAGGACATATCTTTCAGAGATTCTTTCACTGTATATTCAGAAGCCTGAGCTGATTTGAGCATCCGTGGATAGTCAGTCACATGTTAGAGGAAGTGGTGTTACTCTCCAGGGAGCCTCGCAGGATGTACATCCAGACATGCTGTAAGGGAGTGGTGTTGGTGAGAGTACATGGCTAGAGATCACTGCAGTGTGAGGCTCAGGAACAGCAGCTTGGGCCAGGGATGTGATGCAGCTCAGTGACAAAGCGCCTGCCTGGCAAGCACAAGGTCCTGAGTTCAACTTCCAGTACCAAAAAAAAGAACAGCAGTTCACTGACTGTCTTCCATTTACCTCCACTCGTCACTGTGTGTGCTCTGTGAGGCAGGGCCCTGAAAATTCACAGATGGTGGGTAAGGGCTCAGGGTTTGGGAGTTCTGGGAAGAGACATGCATCTGATAGCCATAGCAGTGCTTCAGGTGCCACTCTGCGGCCTGCAGAGAGGACTGACACGGTTCAGCCTAGGGAGGTAGGCAGGGGATGAAGGGCTGTCTGTGTTCTGCGTGCATTCACTCCCAAGAGAACTCACTCCCAAGAGAGTAACATAGGAAATTGGCCCTGTGCTGAGGTTCCAAGCAAGTAAAAGTTATACAGCTTCAGGGAGAGGCCTAGAAGGGAAAAATAGAATGTATTTTTTTGAGGTTTTGGGATTCTGGGAAGATTTTCCTTTTTTAAAAAAATTGTTGGGGCTGGGGATTTAGCTCAGCAGCATAAGCGCCTGCCTTGCAAGCAGATAGTCATGAGTTCAATCCCTGGTACCGATAAAAACGAAAAAGACCAAAAAAAAAAAAATTGTCTTCAGGCTGGGGATTTAGCTCAGCGGCATAAGTGCCTGCCTGGCAAGCACAAGGTCATGAGTTTGATCCCCGGTACCCAAAAAAAAAATTGTCTTCCATTAACATATTTTCTTATAGGAAGGCGGGAAGGGGAGGAGTCTGGAGGTAGTGGGTAGGGGAACGTAAGAGATGGTGTCAGGCAGCCAACTTGCTTCTTCCTGTCTGCTAGACTGCAGTGTCTGGCAGAGCTGAGCTGGCTGGGTTAAAAACAAGAATTCCTATTTGGGAGGGTTTTTTCAGCTTTTGCCCTTGTTTTTGCTGCAGTGGGTTCTTCGGCCTTCATCAGACAGCCCGAGAGGACTTGTTCTCAGAGTCACAGTGGTTAAAGGTCTGCTTTCTCACCGTGGGTTCCTTTCCCTTTGTTTTTCATTCTCAGTGGGTTCAGTGTGAGCACAGCTGGAAGGATGCACATATTTAAGCCCGTGTCTGTCCAGGCCATGTGGTAAGTGGGGTTTTAGGAACTTTTAACTCCTTTTCTAGATGACAGCATAAATAGAAGAACACCCTCTTGTTTAAGGGTATGTGTGGCAAAATAAACCTAATATGAAATTTGCATTTTAGCCATTTTTAAATGTACAATTTAGTGCTATTAAGTGTATGCACACTATTTCCAGAACTTTTTCATCTTCCCAAATAAAAACTCCAAACCCATTAACTAATAGCTTTTTCTTTTCCTTTTCCCCAGGCCCGATAACCTCTATTCTTCCTGTTTCTATGAGTCTCCCTATTGTAGGAACCTCGTAAGGAAATTATACAATATGTGTCTCATTCCCTCAGTATAATGCTTACAGGTTATTCATGTTGCAGCGTGTACCCAGTTTCTCCTTACATGTTTAAAAGCTGACTGATACTCCATGGTATGAGTGTATCATACTGGCTTGATTCGTCTGTTGATGGACATTAGGGTTCTTTCTGCCTTTGGGGTGGTGTGAGTAATGCTGTTGTGATCCTCTGTGTATGTGTATTGGACACTCTGCCTTCAGTTTCTTTGGGAATATACCTAGAAGTGGCCTTGGAGGGTCACATGGTAATTCTGGGTTAACAGTTTGGAGAATCACTAACTTTCCCATAGTGGCCATGCCGTTTTACTTTCCCATCAGCAAAATACCAGGTTCCAGTTTCTGCATAGCTTTGTCAACTCCTGGGATTCTGTTTGTTTGTTCGTTCGTTTGAGGAATGCGTGCATGGTGCGTGTGCGTGCGTGCGTGCATGCGTGCGTGTGTGCGTGCGTGTGTGTGTGTGTGTGTGTGTGTGTGTGTGTGTGTATAGTTTGCTTGTTTTACAGTAATGGAATTGGGACCCTGGGCCTTTGCATGCCAGGAGAGCACCCTGCCGCTGAGCTGCATCCCCAGTCTTTCTCTTTTGAGACAAGGTCTCCCTAAGTAGCCAAGGCTGCCCTTGAACTTGGGACATTTCTGGTCAGCTCCTAGAGTGCTGGAATTATAGGTGTACACCACTGCACCCAGCTGTATTTTTTATGATCACCACCTTAATGGTTGTGAAGTGGTATCTATGGTTTTGATTTGAATTTCTCTAATGACTTAATGTTGAGCATTTTTTCTTGTACTTATTTACATTTTTGTATCTTCGTCGGAGAAATGTCTATTCAAGTCCTTTGCCCTTTTTCAAATTGCATTTTTAAAACGATTGTTAAACAGACATTTTTACATATCTGAGACCCTATAAAATGTCATTATTCCACCTGGCTGCCACTAAGTAGGTGCTGAGTTTTCAGTGAAGGCAGTGGCACTCTCTTAGGCATGCAGAAACTGGAAATCATAGAACAGACATGATTTTTGCAAAGAGAAGCAAAAGAGGGCAGCTCAGTGAAACACTGTGCCGTGTCTCCTGCCCACTGTGCTTCCCAGAACCCCCTTGCACTTAGTTCTTGTGTGAGGAAGCTGAGCCTCTCAGCTGTGATGACACTGACAGGCTGGTAGACAGGTTAGAAGTTCAGTTGTTAGGATGATGCCTTCAGATTTCTCTGCAGAACGTTAATCACCTTTCTTTTCTGCTGTGAGGCTCCCTCATGACTCCTACATTCAACGATACCACAACTTCAAAAGTCGGTTGTAACCCTTTGGAGTTAATTAAAGGGATGTAAAATACCTTGTGAACCAGCCCTTTTGAAAGAGTTACGGGGCTTGTCACAGCCGTTACCTTTTACCCCTTTGGGAGTGATGAGGGATGTTCCACATGCTTGTGGACACAGCAGATGTGTATACCCTAGAGACTAGCTAGCTCTGAATCCAGCTGTTTAAGGCCGCCGTAGGTTGCACGCACTCTCTTGTATGTAAGCATGTGAGTCCTTTATAAACCTCCCCAACTTTAACCCTCTTTCAGAGGGAAAACCCAGCACTTCTTGTGCCTTTCCAGGCCTGACCCTCCCCACCTTCACCCACAGGTCTGCCCTGCAAGTGCTTCACAAGGCCTGCGAGGTGGCTCGAAGGCACAACTACTTCCCCGGTGGTGTGGCGCTCATCTGGGCCTCCTATTACGAAAGCTGCATCGGCTCGGAGCAGAGCTGCATCAATGAGTGGAATGCCATGCCAGACCTGGAGTCCACGCGGCCCGACTCCCCTGCCCTGTTTGTTGACAAGTACGTGTGGTACCCAACTCCCTGGCCCTGGGCCTGTCGGGCACAGCTCCGAGAAGAACCTTGATTGCACATCACCTTCCCAGAACCAGCCTATGCTGTAGGGGTATAACTGGGGCCCCTGGGATACCTTTGGCTATTGGGTGTGTGACATAGACCCCCTTTAAAAGTCAGAGACAACTGATGAATATATTTTGGGGGAACGAATCCCTGACTTCCATCAGCCCCCAAAGGATGTGCTGCTGTGTTTTTCACCTCTAGGCAGTGCTCTGTGCTGGGCCTTTCCTATACCCATTGCCAGAGCTTCCCTTTCCGCCTCTAGGAGACTCATGAACGTGATCTCCCATCTCTTGAAACGCCTTGATCCAGAAAGGAGTCTGCCTTTGTAACAGCAACAGTGAAGCAGATGGCCTCTGTCAAGTGGTCACCAGTGGCACTAACATGACCCGAGGCCATGCTCTTCAGAGTTTAGTTTGAGGAAAAGGAAGAAAGGTGTTCTTTCTGGGTCGAGAACCTACTCTCCAAGTGTCACATTCTGCTGGAACACTGTTTTTTCATTTTGCTTTGTTTTGTTTAAGACAGGGTCTTGCTATGTAGTTCAAGCTGACCTCGAACTCTTTAGGTAGCCCAGGCTAGTTGTGAACTCTTAGCAGCTCCTGTGTCAGCCTCCCAAATGCTGAAATTACAAATGTATGCCACCATGCCCAATTTGGGACACTTTTGTTTTTGTGTTTTTTGCAGTAGTGGTAAGTGAACCCAAGACCTTCACACTGAACTACACTTTCAGCCCTTATGTTAATGTTTTAATTTAGGGTCTTATTAAATTGATCAGTTGCTCATGCTGGACTCTAATGATCCTCCTGCCTCAACCTCCCAAAGTAGTGGGATATAGGCATGCACCCCCATGCCTGACTGGTACTGAATTGAAGACAGCTGTAGACAGAGGAGAAGCAGCCCAATTGAAAGCCACATCATTCAAGTATGCAAAGAAACCATAAGAAAGTGTGGTGAGAAGTGATGTTCCTTTAGGTATATGACAGGAAAGGACTGTCCTGGTCTTGTGTGACCCTGGAAAGAGATGGTATGTAAAAGTATTAAGGAAGACATAAATATTGAATCCGTATGAGAAGGACATGACGAGCTGGACCCAGGCAGGACAGGCTGCTCAGGACACAGCAATAGCTGCACATGTGGGCATTTTGGGAGGGACTGAAGGGCATAATATTTCGGGACGTTACACAGGCTGTTGCAGCCCCAAGAGACTGACTTTGCAGAGCCTGAGCAGGGAAGGAGTTCTGTCCTCTTCGCTGCCTCCTCCTCTGTGGCATCTCCCACAGGATCTAGATAGTGAGCAAGCGTCCATGCCTCTCCCAGACCTGGAAAACAGCACACCGAAAGTAGGCTCTGTGTGCCCCGGTCACACTCAGTTGCACCCCAAAGCAGCTGATGTTTCTGTGGCCCCTAACCTCAGGCATCCTGTGGTTCCATGCTTTCCTAAATGTTCTTTCTTTCCAGGCCAACCGAAGGAGAAAGGACTGAGCGTCTCATCAAAGCCAAACTGCGAAGCATCATGATGAGCCAGGATCTCGAAAATGTGACCTCCAAAGAAGTAAGAGGAGTCTTGCTGTTGTAGCAGGCAAGGAGGTCATAGGATACATAGAAACAGGCCTAGCCAACACCCTGTCTTCTCCAGATTTGCTCACCACCCCACCCTCTGTTTTTTTTGTTTTGTTTTGTTTTGTTTGTACCAGGGATCGAACTCACAGCCTCATGCCTACTAGGCAGGCACTTGTGCTGCTGAACTAAATCCAAGCTTTTTTTGCCTTTGTACAGTGGCAACAAGACTTACTGGAAGGCACACAGGCCTTGAATCTGACTCTAATTTAATTCTAGAGCTGCTACTACTAAAACTGTGAGGTCTTGGATGTGTTTTTTGCCCTCCCTAAATCTTACCTTTGACCTGTCTTGATAATTCCATGAAGTGCATGGGTTGTCCCCCATATACACACTGCTACACACACACATGCTTACACACCCATGGTACTGGGAATTGAACTCAGGAAGTGCTGGTCTGCATTTCTAGTCCTTTTTATTTTTTAGTTTTGAGACAGGGTCTCCCTAAGTTGCCCAAAATGGCCTCAAACTTGGAATCTTCCTGCCTCAGTCTCCACATAGCTGAAATTACAGCTGTTTCACAGTGTCTGGTAGTGTTGTATGTTAATGCCCTCTTTCTCTCTTCTGCCCCACATTGCCTTGTGTTTTGTGTGAAAGACAAAAAAACTTTCAGGCAGGTGTGGTGGTGCACATCGGTAATCCTGGCACAATCCTTTGGGAAGCTGAGGCACAATAACTGCAGGTTGGAGGCCAGCCTGGGCTACAAAGTGAGTTCAAGTCCAGCCTGAACTGCACAGTGAAACACTGTCTCAAAAAACTTCATTCTGCACAGGTTTACAATTGAGCAGCAAGGTGCAAATCCTAGACTGTCTCCTTTTGATGTTTTCCTACATCAGTTATTTTTATTTGTTCATTTGTTATTGTTCTTTTTTGTTCAAGGAATGCAAAAAGTTACAGTAACCACTTAAAACTAGGTGGAGATTAGGGCGGGGGATTTAGCTCAGTGGCATAAGCAGCTGCCTGGCAAGCATGAGGTCATGAGTTCGATCCCCAATGGGGGGGGGAGCTAGGTGGAGTTAAATGGTTGAAATTACTGTCTTTAAAAGTTATACACATGTTAATACATTTTTATTAATGTATTTTACAGATCATACACTGATAGCTTCCTAGGCAAAAGGAAACTGACTTTATAGTCTCACAGTAATATATTTGATATTTAATTGTGAAAAAATAAATGCTTTAAACTTGGTAGAAAAGATCTCATGAAAATCAGATTCCTTATTTGAAATCAGTTTCCCCTAGTTGGGTTTACTTGTAGGCTGAGTAACCTGAATTCCTGCTACCCACATATGTGCTGCTTCATCCAGATGCGTTGCTCTGGGGGAAAATAAGAAAACAAGATTAAACAACAAAACAAAACACCCTTTTGAAATAGTCATAGTTTGCAATTTGACTTTAGTTGCTTGGAGGTGGGCAGCTTTTCTTTACAGATCAGTCTTCCTAACATTTTCCACTTTGCAGATCCGTAATGAACTAGAGAAACAGATGAACTGTAACTTGAAGGAATTCAAGGAATTCATAGACAACGAAATGCTGCTTATCTTGGGACAGATGGACAAGCCCTCCCTTATCTTCGATCACCTTTATCTTGTAAGAGGCATAGCCCAGTGGTATCTGTTTTTGGGATCATAAATCAGACCTCGTTTAGAGCTTGGAACAAGTCAGGGTAAAAGTTTGATTTACTGGAGCTCCCACCCTAACTCTTCTGGGAGCTTCCCTTTTTGACCCCTGTGGCCTGCAGCGTACTGGTCTGCGGTGGCACCAGATGTTAGACCTGCTGAGCTGCAGGGTTGTCGGGAAGTGGTTTGGCATAGTTAGCTGGCAAGTGCTTTCAGACCCTCACAGCCCTTAGTCCTCCTCAGTCACTAACAAAAAGGTCCCAGAGATAAAAAAGTTATCTCCAAAGGTTCATGGGTCCAGGACCCCAGTTAGTATATCCACTGAGTCCCAGAATTGTGCCTGAGCATCCAGAGACACAAGAAACAGCAGTGCAGACAGACTGTCACCTGAGTCAGAGCTGCCCTTCTGAGCCTATCCAAATGGCAGCTCCCGTGCACTGTGCCCAGAGCCTGCTGGTGTGGTCCACCCAGGTCACGGAGCTCTGGGTGGTTGGGTGGCTCCCTGCACCTCAGCTCGTGCTGAGTATGTTCGTGTTATAAATCTGGATAGAAGGCAACTGGCAAGGTTTCAAAGTGAGAGATTATAGAGGAAGGCTTCTTACTAAAATTAGTAGGAGGCCTTGGGGTAGCATAAAGTCAGACCCAGCAGGGCCAAGTTCCTGCACCTCTCCTCTCCCTCTCCCGCTGCAGGACTTGGAGCATGCCGCTCTGCCTTCCTCCTGGACCTCACCAGGTGATTATGAGCATTATATAAAATACACATTGAGGTGCTGAATGCAGGGTCAGGAGGCACTGTTATAAATAGTCTGTGTGTGACTAGGGAGAAAGTACAACCTGGAAGCTGAGGGCGCCTGTGGGCTGCTGAAGGCAGGACCACTTTGCTTTAACCTGCCAGAAGTAAGTGCATCCTCCAGAGGTCTATGCCATGACAACTACCTGGCCATGTATTTTGATGCATTGATGGGTAAGTCCCTAGAGGTGCAGAGTCCCTGGAGCTCCCACCAGTGTTTGAAAATTCAGAATTAAGGTTTGTTTCTTTTTTAAGTGATTGTTTTTGCTTTGTGTTTTCCTCTCCATATGTACACGTGAAAATGTATAGATTTGAAAACTACACAGAACTATACAATACACTGAAAGATAACACAGGGAGTGCTGGCACTGATGTTGTCCTGCTGAAACGCTTTGAAAGGCCCCTCCCTCCGCTTTCTCACTATTAGAAGGGTCACTATTAGAAGGCATTCATGGCCTCTTTCCTGGAACATTCCAGAGAGCAAGAGAGGCAGATTGATTTTATATATATGTGATGGTTTTTTGGAACTTGGGGAAGCACAGCGGCAGAGAAACTGAGACACGCCTTTGCCTTTGGTGACTTTACCTCAGTCTGTATTTCCTAAGACCAAAGTGATTGCTTTTGCTTTGTGTTTTCCCTTCCATATTCATTGAAAGTTCAAGAATTGAGGGTTTGTCTTTTAATGATACCTTTTTTTTTTTTTTTTTTTTGAGACAGGGTCTCGCTATGCAGTTCAGACTGGCCTAGGGCTCACTTTGTAGCCCAGGCTGGTTTTGAATTTACAACTATCCTCCTGCCTCAGCCTTCTGAATGCTGGCATTACAGGGAATGCCACCACACTAGGCTAATGATACCAATTCTTTTCGTTTTTTTGTTTTTGTTTTTTGTTTTTTTTTTTGGTTCCAGGGTTACCCCAGCCTCACGCTCGCAGGTAGTCACTGTGCTGCTGAGCTACACAGCAGCCTGCCAGTTCTTAAAGAAGTAATTTAAAACATGCTGTGGAAGGTTGGAAATGTAAATCAATCTAAAGGAGAAAACAGCCCCACCCCATCTCACACCCAGTGGAAGGTGCTCTTAGCATCTCAGTTTATTTACTTTCCAATCTTATGTTTTTTGAAGTGTTTTGTTTTGTCTTTTGCAGTGCTGGAAATCAAACCCAGGGCCTTGCCCATTGGATTTTTTTGAAGTTACATAGCTTCTTTTTGTTTTGTTTTGTTTTTTGCTGAGATGGTCTTACTGTAGTTGAGGTTGGCCTTGAATTTGTGGTGTAGCTCAGACTGGCCTCAAACTTGTAGTGATTCTCCTGCCTCTGCCTCTTTGAGTGACGGGATTACAGGCATGTGCCACCACACCCAGCTAGTTACATAACTTTTAAAAAGAAAGAAGCCAGCTGTGGTAATGCACACTTACAAACCCAGTTCGTGGGGAGGTAGAAGCTGAAAAATAAATGACAGTTTCAAGCGTGGCCTGGGCAGCTGAGCTAAAGTTAGCGAGACCTTGTCTCAAAATGAAAAATGTTTGAAAGGGCTGAGAATGGTCCAGTGCAAAGGTCCTGGGTTCAATTCCCAGTACTGAGAAGAAGAAGAAAGAATAGGAAATAATCATATTCTTTGATTATGTGCTTTTATACCCTGCTTTTTTTTTCTTTGTCCTCATGTGGTATTTCCCTGTGTGCCACTAACTATTCTGCAAAGGGCTGATTTATTTCATAGGGATTCATCCTCACTTATTTTACTGATTTCTTCCTGTTGGACCTTTGGGTTATTTCCATTACTTTATTACGAATAATCATAAACATCCCTGTTCCTAAATCACTGTGTGAATTGTTATTTCCTTGAGATAGCATTTTATAAATGGAATTACTGGGTCATAGGGTGGGAACTTTTTAGAACACTGCCAGACTATTTCCCAGAAAAGGGAGAATGGTTCCCATCGAAATTAGTGGGGCAGAAGTTGCCAGTCATTGCCTCTGGTGACCACAGACCTGGGCAAAGAAGTAATGAAAAGAGAACAGGTTTCCCCAGACTTGCTCTTCGCCAGGCCCTGGGGCACCTGCATGGATGCCTGCGCCTTCCGGTTCTCTCTGAGGCCAGGGCTGTGAAAGGCTAGGGTAACCCGGGCCTCCCATTAGCAGCTCTGAGGCTAACTATGACACTTACGGGGGTTTGTGTGATCTGTCCCCCAGGGTTCTGAATGGAATGCATCCAATCTGGAGGAGCTGCAGGGCTCAGGGTGAGTCTGCGCCCCTTGTCTTCCCCTGTCCTGGGCAGCTCTGGAGTCTTTGCTCCGCCAGCTATGGAGGCTGAGACCTCCGGCTGCCTGCCTCAGATCACCTACATCCTGGGTGCTGAAGTGGCTGGAGGAGCTGGTCCGTGCAGCTGCGCAGAGCTGCTTCAAAATGCCACATTCTTGGGGCTGGGGATTTACCTCAGTGGCTTAAGTGCCTGCCTGGAAAGCGCAATGTCATGAGTTCAATTCCTGGCACCAAAAAAAAAAAAAAAAAGAATTTAAAACAAAATGCCACGTTCTGAGTTCACAGGTTGTAGATTTTCCTGGAGTCTTTGCGATTGTGTGTGGCAGGGAGAAGCTTTCTGAAGTGCAGTCACGTGGTGTAAGATGGCCTAAATCTGACAAGGCTCTGAGCTCCCTCCCACCGCCTCACTGTCCTGCAGTCACTGAGAATCCTAGCATAGATGCACATCTCTGTTGGCCAAGTGGCCAGTCAGCAACCCTGAAAACTGGACCACTCCGGCCCTGTCTGAGGTTATATTTGGGCCTGGTGGGAATCTTGCAACTAAATAATGTTGGCCAGCCTGTCTCTGAGAAATAAACGCTCAGCAGCAGGAATGAAAAGTGTTTAAAGCTAGACCCTCAAGAGCAGATGTGTGGACTTTTTTTTTTAAACAATATAGCCACAAAATCACCATTCTGTGGGTCTGACATGATGGCATTCTTGAATTACTACATCTGAAAACCAAGACTAAACAAATCTTAAAATATATCTTTGAAACTACTGATTAGATGTGGTCTTTCAACAGAGTACTCAGATACAGGGCGATGCTCTGTGTGCTTCCTTCTCATTGGGAGTAAGTAGGTGAGATTTAGAGGTATCTTTTTAATGTTTTGTAAGTATTCTCTTACATTTGCTTATGAAGCCTGTGTGAGATACTTTGGTCTTCCACAAATAAAAACACTGGTTAAGGATTCTGAACTATAGAACCTGGGTGAATAGGCTCTTGCAAATATTTGTTTATATCTTGCCTTTATTCTAAAAAAAAAGCAGTTTCTAAGAATAAATGATACATGAGTATATTTTATCTTTAACTATTTGAGTGCAGACTTTGTTGTTGTTTTAAACTACTATGTACTTTTTTGTTTTTTCTATTTTGTAGTACTAGACAGAACCAGAAGTGTTGAGCTATATCCTCAGCTTTTATTTTGAGACAATTTTTTGTTTGTTTGTTTGTTTGTTTGTTTGTACCTGGGTAGAACTTGTGACCTTGCACTTGGCGAGCTAAATCCCCAGTTTGAGACTGGCTCTTACTAAATTGCCCCTGGCTACCCCTGAACTTGTGATGCTCATGTCTCAGCCTTTCATTAGCTGGGATTACCGGTTTATGTCACATACCTGGCTAATTCTCTATACTATTAGTACTTATAAATTTTAAAAGTTTAAGGAGTTTAAAAATGTATTTATATAACACATTTACTTCCTTAGCAGTGCTTAGAACTGCCTTCTCTTTTTTTTAAGATTTTTTGGGTATAAATATAATACATTCTCATGTAAAGGAAATTAAAATGCTATTAAAGGAAAAGAAAAATACAACTACAAAAGTACTGTATTCATGTACATTAAAATTTTTTTTCTCTCTGGCAGTTTTTTGTTACTTTTACTTTTTAGTTCTTCATTCTAAGTCTTTTTTTTTTTCATTGCAGGGTTGACTACATTTTAAATGTCACTAGAGAAATAGATAATTTCTTTCCTGGCTTATTTGCATATCACAACATCAGAGTCTATGATGAAGAGACCACAGACCTTCTTGCCCACTGGAACGAAGCGTATCATTTTATAAACAAAGCAAAGTAAGTGAGCAAGGAAGCTGATCCAGCGAAGACACTGACCAGCAGCCTGGGTGGTCAGGATGAGTGGCATAGAAGTTGACCAGCCCAGGAGGCTCTGAGGTCTGGGGATCCCAGGCACCAAAGGGGAAAGGGTGTTGGTCATCTGTGACCTGGGAGCTCATCGTCTCCCCCCTACCCCTAGTTGTGACATTGGCCCCAGATTTTGTCATCAACCCAGTTTGCAGGCGAGGATCCAATACCAAGGGACACTGGGGAGCTTTCCCTATAGGGAGTTGCAGGGCCAAAGGAGGCCCCACAGGACTGAGACCTCTATAGAGGCTGCTCCCCAAAGAATATGAGCTTTCTCCTCCTGCTAGAACAGTGTTCCTGGTCCTGTGAACATAGCTGACCAGACCACAGGTGGGGGCAGTCCACTGTCCCTGAGCTCATCAGCGGACCCTCCCATTTTTGTCTCCTGTGGAACAACTATCTGACTGAAATCCTGAGGAGCAAGAGATACCACCTTAATTGCTATCAAGAGAAATGCCTTCCTTTGTACCCCTCTAGGTCAAAGCCACATGGTGTGTCCTTACTAAAATCTCATCTTGGTCTCTGGCTTTCCTCAGGAGATATACTCAGGGCTACCCCTGGGGGACTGGGGGTGGGGGTAGGTGCAGAGTGGGGGACAGCATGACAGCCATTTTGGGAGGAATTGTAAGCCTCAGGTATAGGAGCCTGGCACCTGCTCCCACCTGGCAGGGCAGCCTTCCGGACCAGTAGTTTCCCAGGTGTAGTGTAGGGTTCCCTTCCATGCATTTCTGGAATTATTATACTTAGCCAGTACCGCCTCCTCCCAGGTAGCAGGTCAGCTCATTCTCCCTTTCTCTTTCTGTTGTGCCTTAGCCAGAGCTGCTGCTGTTCTGGCTCTCGCCCCTGGACGCTGCTGCAGAAGACTGCCTTGGTCTCTCTAGGGTTGCGCAGTTAGACTTCACTGACCCTGTTTTCTACAGTAGCTTATTGAGCATCTCCATCTGCTGTAGCAGTTGGGCACCTTTTGCAGAAATCTCTAGTTGCCCAGTTGATGTCCAAGAAGGGGTTGCAGGTGACCGAGCCTTTCTAGTGACTGAGAGGATTCCCACTTTGTCCCTGAAAGCAGCCACTGCCTTTTGAAGCCAGCCTGCAAAGTTGGGCTAGGCTAGGGCAGATTTATCTTGATTTCCCATTGTTTGCTAATTGATTTCACAGCCAAAATATTTCCTTTAGAGGGTGCATGGAATCTGCTCCATAAACATTAGGACATAGGAGGATTTCAGCCAGGAGATAACTTCAGAGCTTAAAAAAAGAATCAGTTGGTAAAGCCTGAACACTGAAGTTACAGAAGATTAGTAATTCTTTCCACCACTCCCACCCTGCAGGAGAAACCATTCCAAGTGCCTGGTCCATTGCAAGATGGGTGTCAGCCGATCAGCGTCCACGGTCATAGCTTATGCGATGAAGGAATTTGGCTGGCCCCTGGAAAAAGCGTATAACTATGTGAAGCAGAAGCGTAGCATCACGCGACCCAATGCGGGCTTTATGAGGCAGCTGTCTGAGTATGAAGGCATCTTGGATGCAAGGTGGGTGCCTGCCTGGAGAAGCGAGTTGGCAGACTCAGCTGGAGGAGCCTTGTGGCCAAGCCTGCCAGGCGCCTGCAGCATTCCAGCCTCCTGTTGGGCCTGGCAGCAGCTTCTGTAGCTAAAAAGCCTTTCTTTTGGGGGGAGCAGGTTTGAGAAAAATAACTATTGTTTGGGCTTTGATGAGTGGTTTCCAGGAGGGATCTGTTTTGATTCTGTTGGCACACACATAAAGCTTGTTTTGCTACTGGCGGGGAAAAGTGCCTAACTCCTCATCCAAGGGCCGACCTGGTGTGTGCAAATCCCATTTCCTGAGCACCTGCTTTGTGCCAAGCCTGGTCCACAGGCTGCATGGTAGGGCAAGCCAAGGAACAGCAGAGGCCACCAGCCAGGTTCCACCGCTGATAAGTGTGGAAAATCACCTGAGTCTCAGTTCCCTCTTCCAAACAAAGAATTCACACCCACCCAGGGATCAGATGCTGCAGACACTATGGGAGACAGAATGGTGATCCTCAGGAAAGTGGAGTGCCAGCATTTCCTTTCCAGTGTATACCTAAAGAATTGAGAGACATTCCAGGTCAACTGTAAACACATACAACAGAATGTTTCTCTGCCTTAAAAAGGAAGGAAATTATAGCTAGGCGTGATGGCACATGCCTGTAGTCCCCCCTCTGGGGAGAATGAAATTGAGGGGTCCTTTGACCCCAGAAACCCTAGGCCATTATGGGTAACAGATGTACAAGCTCTCTCTTTTCTTACCTCACCTGGTAACGTAGTGAGACTCCTGTTTCTTAAAGCGAAGGAAGGAAATTCTGCCAGAATGAACCATTAGGTAGAAGTGCTCAATAAAATTATCCATTAACAAAACAGATACTGTGGAACCTCATTTATATGTATAGTACATTCAAATAGTCAGATTCAAAGAGAAAGAAAATATGATGGTGATCGCCAGGAGCGGAAGAGGAGAAAGAGTGTTTAGTGGGCACACAATTTTAGTTTTGCAAAATGAATTACAGAGCCAGGTGTCACCATGTCACCTGTAATCCCAGCACTCTGGCAGGCAGAGACAGTAAGAGTCCAGCCTGGGCAACTTAGTGACTTAATAAGACCCTGTCTCAAAATAAAAAGGGTAGGGTACGTAACTCAGTGCTAAGGTCCTAGATTTGACCCCTGCCCAAAAGTTATGGAGCCACATTTCTACAGAGGTTGCACAGCGTTTTGTATATATTTAATATATCTAATATTGCTGAGCTGTGTATACATGGAAGTGATCAGGACAGCAAGAATGGTAAGTGTATTTAACCACAATGAAAAACGAAATCAGCCACCTAATAGGGCTGTTTTGAGATCTGCATAAGCTCAGACAGTTTACCTTTACCACATCTCTGCCATCTGGCCCCTAGTGAGTAGTCAGTAAATATAGCTGCTAAAATCACTTAACTCCCACCCAAAAAGATCTTCAAGGTACAGCCTCGCCCCTTTTAAAGGGGTGGATAGGGGTCTAAGACTGAGAGGTTAACGTGTCCCACATCACACAGCCCAGTGGATGGCAGGGTGGTGGGGAGCACTTGGGGAGGGCAGCTCCAAGGTTATCCTGCCGCTGAGGATCCCCTGGCTGGGGTCCTCACTGGTGCCAGGTATGTCCCCCTGCACCACAGTAGCCCGGATGCCCTCAGAAGCCTGTAGCTCGGGTTACTGCCTCCCTCCCTCGCTCGCTCTTGCCATCCGTTCAGCCTGTAGAAGGTGGGCCTGCCTTGGTATTTCTGACCCAAGTTGGAAGACAGCCAGAGGCCAGCTCCATCAGCTTCCTGGCCAAGTTTGGGAAAGCAAGAGTGCCCTGGCAACACGAACAGGGCCCAGAGAACAGCTCTGGACGGTCTGGACTCCTTCACTGTCACTCGGAGAGTGGCTGGACAGGATCTAGGCGGGGCTGGAGGCCAGCATGCTTCCTGCTCTCTCCCTTAGCCTGTCAGTCACTTGCTGCCCTCAGTCTGAATGGGGTTCTCTGGGCCAGGTTCGTAGCAGCACAGCATTGTGACCTGGAGTCACAGCCTGGTGGAGCGCTGTCATGTGGCGCACAGTAGTGAATGATTGTGAGTTCCCTTGTCTTAACGCTCACACTCAGCCTGGCTTCCGTCAGTTGCTCTACTCTAATGCTCAGGGCTGGCCTTGGTTACTTACTTCATGCTTGGCACTCTGTTCTTCTCTCCCCCTCCTCCCACTGTCCTCCCCCCACTCTTATTTCCCTGACATTGTGAAGCTGGGCATGGTAGCACCCATCTATAATTCCAGCACATTGGGAGGCTGGGGCAAGAGGATCCCAAGCCTGACTCCCACCTGGGCAACTTGATGACTTAGTAAGACACTTACCTCAAAAATATTTTAAAAAGGGCTGGGGATAAAGCCTCAGTGGTGCAATCTTAGTACTGAAGAAGGAAAAAAAAACAAAGTAATAGTGTAGAGGCCAGGTGTAATTCAGTAATAGCGCCACTGCCTAGCATCGATGAAACCCTAGGTTCATTCCTCAAAACTGAAGAAAAAAATCTTAGAAGAAAACATTTAAAGCTGATGTGTGACCTCTCACATCTAAAGAAATAGTTATACTTTAGGGAGGCTCTCCCAAAAATACTGGTATGTGTTATGTATTTACATCGTTATATTAGAATATAGACTTTTGCACACCTTCTGCTTTGTGTGTGTATATATATATATACAAGACTGGGTCTCACTGTGTAGTTCTGGCTGGTCTTGAATGTACTGTGTCAAAGGCATACCTTGGACTCATAGCGATCCTCCTGCCTCAGCCTCCCAAATGCTGGAATTATAGGCATGCATCACCATGCCCAGCATGCTTTCACTTTGGTCCTCTTAATTTCTATATAGGATAGGTAGGAGAGGATCATTATTCTCAATGGCAAATGGAAAAACTGAGAGGAGCATCAGTAACGTAACTAAGTTCACACAATGCAATGGGGCCAAATACTGAGATCCAGACAATAAATCAAGACTCTCAGTGTATCTGCAGTACTGCTGTCACATGATTTAAAAAAAATCACATAAGACTTCCCTAGCTGTGCCTGGTGGTGCACAGCTAGAAATAGGAAGGGAGCTGGAAGCCTTACCTGAGAGAGGACCAAGTGTGGGGTGAAGACAAGTGTGCAGGGTCCGGCTCACTCCTGTAGATTGGTCAGCCCACGCAGCCCTCTGGAGCAGGCCAACACAGGAGAACCACAAGTTTGAGCCCAGCCCAGGCAAAACAGCAAAACCTGTCTTAAAATTTAAAAAATTAAAGGGCTGGGGATGTAGCCCGGTGTAAAAGGACTGAGTTCAGTCCCTAGTGCTGTGAGAGAGAGTCAGTCGCCTAAGGTTTACTTTGCAAGCCATGATTTAGGGCCCTAGCATTGCATTTCTTCCCATCCATGTGTGCTTGTAAACAAGTGAACCCAGAGCCAGAGCCTGCCCTGGCGCCCACCTCACTCTGGGCTGTCCCGTGCTTGCTTCTCCCCCTCTCCACCCTCTTGCTGGGACCCTTGGTGCTGTCCCTCTCCACTCACTTCCTCTTCTTTTGTCCCCACAGCAAACAGCGGCACAATAAACTCTGGCGCCAGCAGACCAAGAGCAGCCTCCAGCCACCTATGGACGACCCTGCAGAGCCCAGCAACTTCTTACCAGAGACCCTGGACAGCACCCTAGCAGACAGCCGGCTGCCCTGCTTGGATGATGCCGCCCAGCCTGGCCTCCCAGGAAGCCCCACTCCAGGGGGGCCCGCACTCCCCTGCTGCCTCCGGAGACTGTCAGACCCCCTCCACTCTTCCTCCGACTATGACACTGGCAGCCCAGTCCACCTGGAGGACCTCGAGAGGGATGCTCTGTTGGAGGATGTGACGCAGCCAGTGGAGGTGCTCAGGCCAGCCCGGCGAGCCCAGGAAGGTGCCGGACTCTGTGAGAAGGGTGTGAAGAAGAAACTGGAGTTGGGGGGCCCCAGAGCCCACAGTGGCTCCTCCCCACAGGCGGAGGATATGGAAAGGGAGGAGGGCCCGAGACCGGGCAGGTCGGCATGGCCCCCCGCCCAGCCTGACAGAAGCCCACTCAACCGGGAGAACCTCAATAACAACAACAGCAAGCGGAGCTGCCCAGATGACTTTGAGGTAGGCCTGGCTCCATGTTGCTGCCTCCCTGTACTGCTGAGCCCCTGAGGTGAGCTCCAGAGGGGCTGCGTGGGCTGGTCGGCTCGTAGGGAATAAACCGAACCCCTGCATGCTGTCTCCACCCACACCCCCATCCTGTCTCAGATAAGCCTCCAGCTCCTGAGAGATACAAAGCGTGTAACACCTGACTTCGGCGTGTATCGGCTCACCGCACCCGCTTACCCTACTGAGACAACTTTGCAACAAATCTCAGAGGCAATATTGTGTTCCCAATACTCTAGTATGAAACGTGACACAGTACCATTACCATCCTTTGAAAAGAGCCAGTAGCCGGGTGTGGTAGCACATGCCTGTAATCCCAGCACTTGGCTGAGGCGGAAGGATTGCCTTGAGTTCAAGGCCAGCCTGGACTACATAGGGAGACTCCTCTCAAAAAGGCAGAGACAGAGAGAGCAGTTCTTCTCAGGATAACAAGTACCTAGTATGTAGTCTTCCAACCTAGGGTGGACGATCTGTAGCAAGCTTAGTGTCAGCTTGTGTGGGCTCAGAAAATCACTCATTGCCACCTCCTGTCTCCCAGTGTCACCATCAGGAAGTGGCCTGGGAGCAGGGCACTGGTTTTGTGATGGGCAGCCTAGTCTCAGCTAGGCCCTGGGGTGAGGAGCTTCACGTGCCCTTGGCCTCTTCTGCCCACCACATAGGACGGCCAAGATTCTTAAGTGAGAGCACTTGGGACACCGGCAGGCACACTCCAGTGGACCTGCTGGTAACCGCCATGGCGTTCCGTGCAAACAACAGTGGGGCATTCATTATCGACCACCAAGTCATGCGGTGTATCCTCCCAAGCCACATGGGAGTTACGGGTTCCCCACTCCTTGCCATTTCCCTCCAAAAGCAAATGCCATTAAAGATAGTGGCATACACTGCTCCGAGAGGACATTGTTGCATGGTTGGTTGGTACAAAGCAGCATGAGTGTGAGCCACTGGACAGTGACCAGGTGAGGGGTTTGGACCGCAGGGCAAGGTAAGGTCTCAGTTGGTCCTTTCCACCAGAATTAGACTGAATGCCTAACATCATCAGGGGAACAGGACCTAGACACAAGCCTCCTTTGCAGTGTCCAGCTTCCATGTATGAGCCAGGGTGTGCTGGGCTGGCTGGGGGTGTAGCTGTGCATTTTGTGAGACAGACGGAGGGCAAACACAGGAGGCCGAAGCAAAGAGGACAAAAGTGTTGAGCCCTGTGCACAGTGGCAGACCAGGAGCTGGCAAGTGCTGGACAGAGCAGGAGTTGCTAAGCCCACGAGGACTGAGAGACCCTGGCGTGGAGGGGCAGGAACTGGACACCACGGTGGAGGGGCAGTGGTTGAGGTGCAGTGGAGAGGCGGCCAGGCACGTGAGCGCCCCATGCGTGCTGTCAGGGCTGTTTCTTTCCCTGACACTGGGAGGCTTGGGAGGGCTTGGAGGCTGGTGAGCAGAGCGCAGGCCCTGAGCCCCCGGTGACCGGGACACACAGCATGGAGCGAGGACCGAAACGTGCTGCTTGGGAGAGGCGGTGATCCTGTGCCCCTCCGGCCCTGTCCCACCCTCCACTGCGCCTGAGCCCCGCACGCTCACGTGTGTCTCTGAGCTGTTCTCCCCCTCTCGGCCGCGCTTGCCTGTTCCACAATGGCCACCCCCTCCCAGAGGCTGAGCGCGCACAGCCCACTCTAGCACTGCTTAGCCTCAGTCCTGCGACTGGACCCACAGCCTTCATGCTGGGTACTTCTTTAGCCCTTTCCTTTTGCTTTGGTGTTTTTTTTGGAGGTTGTTTGCTTGTTGTTTTTTGAGCAGTCTCTCTGTTTTAGTCCAGACTGGCCTTGGGCTCATGGTATCCTGCCTCAGCCTCCTGAGTGCCAGAATTACAGTTTCAGCCCTTGCATTGTTGTTCTTCATTTTGCTGTTTTGCAGTAAGAGAGTTTGAACCCAGGGCCTCTGCACTGATCTACATCCCCAGCCCTCTTTATTTTTATTTTGAGACTCTGACTCACTGAGTTGCTAAGTCGTGCAGGCTGGTGTTGAGCTTTCCATCCTCCTGTCTCAGCTTCCCCAAGTGCTGAGATTATAGACATTTCTCACACAGCTTTTTTGACATATTCCCACCAGGGGGCAGCAGGCCTCCCTGGAAGTTAAGTGGTGCCTGTCTTCAGGCCTGGAACCTGACTCAGTTTAGGTTCTGGGCAGGCACTACTCCATGAATCTGGCTGGAGTGAAGGGATTCTCTGAATGGTGCTCTTAGAGCCCAGCTGTGCTGGATTTCTTCAACTCAGGTTGTAGAAGAAGCAAACATGAAAGACTTCAGTTAGAATTTAAGAAAAATTTCCGCATCCAGAATGCTGGCCATGTTAGGCTTCCACTGATTAGACAACACTAAGGTCTGACTGTAGAACCTAGAAGCCTGGGCCAGGATCTGCAAGGAGGCCCCTCTCTCACCAACGTACACCCACCCAAGCCTGCCCCTCTCCTGCCCTTGCAGTCACTACTCAAGATGATGTCAGTCCTTGGGGCACAGGGCTGCTACTCAGGCCCTACTTAAAGAGGACACTTGGCCTGGAAGGCATCATTCCAGGGTCACACAGCTGGACAGTGTGCCATGTTACCTCCCCCTGCTTACCCTTGGACAGGCTCACCTCCATCACACCCCACCTGCTAGCTGATCTGCAAGGCCCTGAAGGGTTGCCATGCCTGGCAGAAGGCCAGGGGTGTAGAGATACATGTCCTATCCACTCAGAGTCCTAGTGACCAGAAGGCAGGGATTTCCTTGGGAAACAGGCAAGGCATGATTCTACCAGCATAAGCTACCGCTAGCCTTCTGGTCCAGGCCTGTAGGCCCCGTGTTTAGGCACCTGTCAGGGTTCCCCAAACCATTTTGTCCTTTGCCACCTCTTTTGTGAAGACCACAGCTGGGTTCAGGAGCCGTACTGTATTCAGGCTGGACAGGAGGGACTCAGTTTTCTGCGGTGGAGACTCCAGAGAGAGGCCTTCTTTCTGTGCTTCTGTGGCAGGAATGCTCGAGTTTGTTTCTCCTAGTGCTGTGATCTCTAGGGATTACTTTGCTTTCCAGACGAGAGGGCAGCCTGGAAAGGCAGGCTGACAGGGAGGTCCTGGGATGCCTTGCCCTGACCATACTGGTCTTGTAACCAGAGGTTTGCCTGGGATCCCAGGCCCTGGCTTCTGGGAAGTTTGGCTTGGGATTTCTAGTCCTCTCTAACCCAGGCTGTGCATGTTCAGGTGGGTTCCAACAGTTCAGTTTTTCGGCCTTGAGTAAAGGAAAGCATGTGGCCCCAGCTCCACACCCTGCTGATTCATTGCCCTCCAATTTTTTTTCATCCTTGGCTCATGATTATACTGTGTCCCTATGTTCTTGTCCCCTTACAGCATGATGCCATGTTTGGGATCCTCACCAAAGTCAAGCCTTCCTACAAATCCTGTGCCGATTGCATGTACCCTGCAGCCAGCAAGGCACCTGAGGCCTTTAGGGAGCAAACTGAGGACCCTGGTGCTCCTGCCATCTGTTCCCAGCCTGCCTTCCTGCCCCACATCACATCTTCCTCTATGGCCCATGTGTCTAGCAGGTCCCGGCCTCTGGAGAAGGCAGCCTCTGACGCTGCCAACACTCTTCCATTGCTACCACCAGCAGCTTCACGGAGACCAGAGAGTAGTGGCTGTGTGGGTGGGGCTGTCCTAGAGCTACCCCCTAGCATCCCAGAGCCTTCTAGAGAGACCCCAAAAGTTCTGCCCAAATCCTTCCTGTTGAAAAATTCTCACTGTGACAAGAGCTATGCCAGCATGGAAGTGAAGGAAGATTCATTACCCAAGAAGCCAGCTAAGGACCTGAGGCTTCTGTTCAGTAACGAGTCCGAGAAACCAACGACCAACAGCTACCTGATGCAGCACCAGGAGTCCATCATTCAGCTGCAGAAGGCAGGCCTGGTCCGCAAGCACACCAAAGAGCTGGAGAAGCTGAAGCGCCCGCCTGCAGACACAGCGTCTGTCTCCAGGGAAGGTGTCGCCAGCAGGCTGGAGGACAGCATCCCCGAGGAGAGCCAGGAGCTGGCCGCGCTCCAGGAACCACAGCCCCCAACCCTGCCTGGCCAGGCAGGGGGTGACGAGAAATCAGAGACTGTACCCCTGCCGTTGGAAGGAGCCTTGCTGAAGAGCCCCCCGCCCTTCCTCTCCCGCCTGGACCACACCAGTAGCTTCTCCAGAGACTTCCTAAAGACTATCTGCTACACCCCCACGTCCTCCTCCATGAGCTCCAACCTGACCCGGAGCTCCAGCAGCGACAGCATCCACAGCGTCCGGGGAAAGCCAGGGCTGGTGAAGCAGCGGACCCAGGAGATTGAGACCCGGCTCCGGTTGGCAGGCCTCACTGTGTCGTCCCCCCTCAAGCGCTCCCACTCTCTGGCCAAGCTGGGAAGCCTCACCTTCTCCACAGAAGACCTATCCAGTGAGGCCGACACATCCACTACCGCCGACTCCCAGGACGCCAAGTGCAGCAAATCCTCCTTCTTGCACGAACCCCAGGCCACCCTAAGGAACCCAGCTGAAACCTCCAAATCATCAGGGAAATCTGTCCCAGAAAACTTGAAAAGCCCCCTGGGGCTGAGCAAGAGCTGACACCCCCCACTTTGCTCCACTGGACTTGCATTTTCATATGGCCCCTCCCTTAGTTTCATTGTGGGTTCTGATCCATACCTTAACAACTTGATTTGTCTTAAACCAAAGTCATCCAGGCTTCCCTCCCTCTTGCCATAGGAGGAGGAGAAACAAAAACAATTTACAGCACAAGAAGAAAAGGAGAGGTACCTGGGAGACCCAGGAACGATCAGCCAGCAGACACACTCTACTGTTAATGAGAAGCATGTATTAAAGAACACATGCAGATAGGCACACACATCCACAATGTTCCACTTGCAGCAAGCAGAAGAGTCGTGGTGGTGCCATCATCGCCACGGCCAACGTTTCCCTCTGGCCCTCTTGGAAGAACTCTGGGATGGCAACATGAGTCCTACCTCTGCTCTGGCTATGCTCTTTCATTCTTAAAATACAGTAATGACCAAGGCTCATTCCAAGGAATAATGCTGTATCTGAAAGAGTTTTTCCAAACAGGTTTTCTTGTTTTGTCAGAACCTCAAATGTGTTGAGACGTTCCGCTGGACTGCACCAGGCAGGTCACTGCTAGGTAAAGTCAGCAGAGAGGTGCAGCCAGCCCGGCTGTTGAACTTGTGCTGTGCTGAGAGGCAGTCGCCTTTTCGGTTAGTCTTCTATCATAGTTCTCTTGTGGTGGCTGGGTGATGACCATGAGGCCAGCACCCGGGTCAGATGGGGGAATTGGGTGTGATGTTCTCGGCCGTTGCTGGTGGGGAAGCGTACAGCAGGCCTGGTGGGGCACGCCAGAGCATCGTAGAGCCGAATCTGCTGTGAACCAGATGAGTTGTGTCTTAAGTTCGGGGAACGCTGGTGCGGTAGCTCTGGGATTGAACTGTCCTGCCAGAAGCCCTGATCTTCAGGCTTAGTAGGTCCGTCTACTGTTTGGAAAGCAAAAGGGATGTCAGGGCAAGATTCTCATGGGCCCTACTCCAGGAGCCACCTGGGCAGCTTCTCTGAGCACAGTGAGACTGATGAAAGCGTCACAAGTGTTTACAGGTGTCCCTCCCTGCGCAGAAAGTGCTGCCTCCTCTTTCTGCAGCTCCACCTAGCAGCAGTAACGGAGTAGAGGATGCTGTTGCCCAAGCCTCAGCTTTAGGTAGCACCTTCAAGAACCAGGTAAGCGCAGGGTGGCTTGCAGGTGGGGCTTAAATCCCGGGCTCACCTGATGTCTGCTAGGAGGGTAGACTACTAAAATATTTTGAAGGAAGAGAAGCAGCTCTGGAGAAAGGGAGAAGCACTTGATTCAGGGCTCTGCAAACTGTGAAACACAGCCCCTGTGGTCTAAGAATGGTTTTTACATCTTTAAAGGGTTATAAAAAATAAAATAATATGCAAGAGAGTCCGTACAGCACCTTAGATATTTACAGACAGTCCTTTATAGGCCTTTGCCGCCTGTGGACCTGCAGAAAGAAGGCAAATTCAAAAGCCTGCTGTGTCTCATGGACACCTCAGGGCAGACCTTGCCCTCCTCCCAACTCCGGGCCTTGCCAGCTCCCCCTACCCCACGCCGTACCTCTCTTGTGCATGTATGTGGGGAACACAGAAGCACCTTGCCCTCTGCTGAATCAGTCCAGTAAGCTCAGTGAAACCAGAAAGCATTCAAGCGCCAGCCACATTTGGAAAGCAGATGCATGAGTTGCCATCTTCCATGGGCAAGAACTGGGCCCCCACAGCTGCTGCTCTAGAGAGCACCCAGGCAGGGTCTCCAGCAAGAAGACTGTTTCCTGTTTGAACTAGTGTAGAGGGTTTTGGCAAACACCGTCTCTAAGAGCTTTTGCTCCTGGCATGATTTTTTAAAAATATATGCCACTATTTCATAGGAATTTGTTTTCCCACTAGTGTCAATTGAAATCACCTTACAAGGGGATTATCCACTTATTCCTGAAGCCCTATGGGGTTCCCCCTTCTTCCTCAGCCAACAAAAGCATATTTTCAAAAAACTATCAAGTTCAGTTATGTTTTGCCAAATTAAATTTCATGCAGATCAATTTTTGGTCAAAATAATCCTTTAAATTCGATGATGATAGACTTCTGTTGATCTTTTAAACATCTGTGTAGCAGAGTGTTACAGTTTTGAAAACTTTAATTTTGAAAGCTATAATTTTTCTTGTCCAGTAAGGAGTAGGGGCGAGGAAGATTGTAAATATAAGTGGGTCCTTGGCAAACTTACTGGTTCTTTTTTAGAAGCATAGCTGGTATATCATCTAACATCCAGGCAGACCAGGGCCCTGGTCCCCATCAGCAGAGCTGGTGAAACATTCTGGGTTTTTTGATGGTTCTGAAGATTGTTCTGAGAGACTTGGACCCATTGCCTGTGAACATGACGGTTTTAAAGCATTAGGTTACCCAGGCGAAAGCATTCTGATAACCTAGGGGCGCTTTGGCACAAAGTCATGCTGGTAATCAGAAGGGAAAAAAGTTTGTTTCTTAAGACATGTCATAGCTTGGCTGGTGCTTTTTGTATGTAACTTTAGGTGACAAGGAAAATTTCAAATGTAAGTGGCGCAGAGAATTCATAGATAGTGCTGTACAAGTCATTAATTTGGTGACTGTCGCCCTCACTGATGCCTTTGTTTATGTAAGGGGAAAGGAATATTTGCTAATCTGCCCAACACTGTACTGGGCTGCTTTTCATCCCCCTGCCTACCGTGACTGATCCAGCATCCAGAAGTGAGCCTGAACTTTGCCACAGTCTTGTCTCGCATTGATACAGAGGTGATCTTGTTAAGCAGAAGGGGGAAACTGATCACAGAAGAAAGACCAGGCTGCCCTCTCACCATAATCTTGAAAGTGCCAATTTCCATTTCTTTCTCTTGAGTTGTCTCAGAGATCTCCAGAAATGTCCCTTGTTGCACCTAACTTTCCATGAGCACAGTTTCTTCCTCTGTGCATTCCCTGCCTTGCTCCCTGTGCATGGTCCCCCGCCTGGGGAGCAGGTGTCTGCGGGGTAGCAGGCCTTCTCCACTGCACCCTGTTGCTCACTCGTGTGTTACCCACCAGGTACACAGAGGCTGCAGTGTCCAGACTCCGTTCTTTTCCACCTACCCTACCCCACTCTCTCCAGCTCAAAAGCATTCCAGTCATGTCTGAAGCCCTCCCACCATATCCTAGCCCAGAGGATACCGCAGAGTGGGGCTGAGCACGAACAGAACAGACCTTCAGGGCACTCCCATGCAGTACTTCTGCATCCTGTCTCAGGGCCAAAGGCTCTGGACTTCCCAGGGCTATTTTTGTTCCCCTGCAGAAACAAATGCTGCAGCATTTAGTGAAGGTATTAGGTAACTTAGCCCAAAGTACTGAAGGGAAAGGAATTGCTGTTAGCTGGGAACTCTTGGTGCCGAGTTCATTTACTCAGCCCAACTAGTTAGCTGGCCACCCAGCAACCAACCACATACACACCCGAGGGCAACCGTTTCACCTTTGGCAAGAAAGCTGTGTAGATCAGAAACTTGGTGTCATCTGGACAGCACAAACCCGGTTCACTTGTCCTGGTTCCACCCTCCAAGTTCCTGCTAACGTTAAAGGCAAAAGGAAGGTCCCTGATTTACTCCTGTGCGTAGCCACTTGCTTTGTTACTGTCTGCTCTGCAGTTGACTGAGTCTGCTCTGCATGCATATATTATATATGCATATATATGTTTTAGTATATGCATTATATATATATTGAGTATAACTTGAATCAAATTATCATGTGACCATTTCTCTCATCCACATACCTGCTGTGTCCCCCAAGCTACAAAGGGATCCCCTAGACCCATCTGGAAGGGCGCTGCCCAGTGCAGGCCCCAAGTCCATCTGAAGACATGGGTGTCTCGCTCCTATCTGGCAGTTGGGCTGCCACTCGGCCTTCAGCCCTGCTGTGAACTAACCAGACCGCCCAGCCTTTGCTTCCCTGACCCAGGCGTTTGCTGTATGAGAAGAGAGCTGCTCCCCCTTCTTTCCTACACTGTAATTATTGTTTTACAATTGAGTGCCTTAATAATGGTTTACAAATACTGTGTATTTATGCAAACTGTAAAACTCATCTTCAGTGATTGGGGACTTCGTGTTGTCCACAGAAGGTGGTCGTAGGGCTTGAGTTCGTCCTTCTCCAGACTTGGGTTGGTTTTGCTATGCAGTTTGGCCTTGTATGTCCACAGCTACTCCAAGGAGCCTCTGGACACAGCACTGGTTGTTCCTGCAGGCCAGGCCGCCATCGCCTGACACTGCATCCTTTGGTGGCCAGTGGAAAAACGCAGTTTCATTTGCCACCCAGCTGGGAAGTGGTGCAGGCCCAGCGGCCCTGTGAACTCCAGCCCCTCCCCTCACCCATCGCCCATCACTCCATTTGTGCTCTTGTTTAATAGAGGTCAGGTACCACCCACGCTACCCTATTTTTCCTCTCTGTTAGTGTCCTGAGCTGTTTTGCAACAAAATATAGGTACAGATCACTTCTCCTGCCCCATCTAGGCGCTCCATCAGACAAGTTGCTCTTTGGTTTTTCAGAAGCTACAGGTGGGTTCCCATGTGTTGCGTTACAGTGTCAATGATTTTTTTAAATTGTTGTCTTCTTGTTTTTTATATTATATATTTAAAAGGCAGTATCTTTTGTACTGTGAATTTGCAGTAGAAGATGCATAATGCACTTTTTTTTTTTACTTCTGTTGGTCTGTATTGTATATAATCTGTGCTTCTTGTGATGAAAATAAACTTTTTCTTTATAAATGCTTAATGACTAACTTTGTACAAGAAGAATCTACCTCTTTGGCCCTTTCCAAGACAAGACTGATATATCATTATCATCCTTACTGAGCACCTACTATGTGCTAAGCTCTGAGTTAGACCAAAGAAATAGCCAAAGCAGGGTGGGGGAGGTGGAGATTTAGCTGAGCAGCCTAAGTACCTGCCTGGCAAGTGTAAGGTCATGAGTTCAGTCCCCGTACCAAAAAAAAAAAAAAAAAAAAAAATAGCCAAAGGGAGAGATGTTAGTTCCTCCCAGGATGAGTGGTTTTCCTTCCTGGTTTTATGAGTGATCATTTGTGTAGCCAAAAAGTATCCCCCACCAAGGTGGAACCTGGACACTGGATGGCTTCTCTTCTGGTCCAGGTAGCCAATGCCAAACCAGGAGTGTGCTCCAGAGGACCAGCTTCTCAGGCTGCACCTTGTGACCAAGAGGATGGGGTGTTCATGTCTGCTCCCCTGGGCAGGAAGCCCAGGAAATCATCACTGAATGTAGCCAAGCCTCATTTTGTGCAGATATCACACACCAGGAAGCTTTTGGTAACACTGCCCCTTGATGTGTTAGCCTTCTATTACTGGTGACAACGTAGCCATATTGGGCAGCTCAAAGGAGGATAGACCCTATCAGCTTGTGCCTTAGGCGGTTCAGTCCATCATCGGTTGGCTCGGTTGCTTTTATTTTTCTAGCAAGGAGCACATCACAGAAGCACATCGCAGAAGAAAACTTGCTCAGCTCATGATAGCTGGGGCCTCACCCCCAGTGACCTAACTTCCTCCTGGGAGGCTCCACCCCCCAAGAGTGCTGTCATCTAGGATCAAACCCTCAACATTTGGGTTTGGGGGACATTGAAGATCCAAACTTAACTCTTGGGGACCCAGGAAACAAGGCTACCTTCATTTTAAAAGTTCTGCCACCTTAGCTGATGATGATACATACAGAACCTGGTGGTACCTATATAATAACAGTGCTCTAGGTGGCTGAGCCAGGAAGATTACAAGTTCGAGCCCAGCTTGAATGATTTAGGAACCCTGGCTCAAAAAATACAAAAAGGAAGGTGCAGATGTAGCTAAGCATAAATACCCGAGGTCAGTCCCTGTAGTGCTGAGAAGGCGGAGGAGAGACCAGGAAAGCTGGTTTTCACTCTTGCTGCCTTTGGTATAACACATCACATCTCAGGTTCCAGTCAGGGAGATCTTAAGTCACATGGTCCCAACCCAACAGCGGGTAGACGACACCACTTGGTGAGCGCTGACTGCTCACTGCGTGACTCAAGCACTGGAGGCGAATCACTAATTCCTATTATGCGCCAACCCAAAACCCGTTTTTTCATTTCATCTTGACTCTGTCTCCCACCTGAACTTACCAGAGACGGACACATAAACCAGAATGTACGTTATCTTCTCACCACCACCAGATTAACAGTCTTGGACAAACATACAAGTGACGCCACTGTTGGGCTAGAAATTACTTGTTAATCGTGAAATTAAAGCAGATTAGTGGGATGAATCTAACAGTATTATCAAACTAATTTTTGGTAGAGTGTTTTGTACTGATTTTGTTGTTCATTTTTCGAGACAAAGTCTTGCCATGTTGCCCAGGCTGGCCTCAAACTTGTGGGATTCCACTAGTCCTGAGATTACAGCCATGTGTCACCCTGTTAGCTCTGTAGGATATTTTTAAAACAGACACCGAGGGTCATGCATGGGTCAGGACTTCCTTGGCCATGCTGGAGCTATGAACCAATTCTTTTGGGCTCCAAATATGAATCTAGTCTGGGAGTAGGGTCCACCAATCTGTAAATTTTTGATAGATTCCCTGGAGAGTCTGGTGGCTAACTTTAGAAACCAGAGAAATAAGAATGTGAACCCATTAAGCAGGCTTACACTTTGCTGGTTGCAATCTCATTCCTTGCATGCTTTCTTCACACAGCACTCGCATCCTTTACAGAAAACGGGCCTTTGCAGCTCACCAGATACTTAATTATTCAGGAATCCTTGGTGCTTGTGCTGATAACCCTAATTTCATCTGCAGAGTGACTGTCCAAGGGTTGAATGTAATCCCAGCTCTCACTACAATGGGGTAACTTTAAAGAGCACATTCATGTGCCTGTTTAAACCCAGGGGATGTTGTTGGCAGGATGGGTGGAAGCATCTCAGAAGACATTGTGGAGGGGGATTGGGGATTTTAGGCGTGGTCATCTCCCTGCAGGGAGGCCCTTCTGTCAGAGCTCTCCATCACAATGCACACGGCAAGCCCTGCCCAGTAAACACCACCCCCTACCTTGCACCCTTAAGCCAAGGAGCCAAACTTGTACAGTCAGCCCTTGGTACCTATGGAGTTCATTCCAGGATCACCCTGGATAACAAAATCTGCATATCCTCAATTACATAGAACCTATCCACATCGTCCTGTGTACCTTAAGTCATCTCTAGATCTCTTATAACAATTGATACGATGTAAATGCTATGTGAAATAATTGGTACTGTATTGTTTAGGAAATAATGGCAAGTGTCTGTACATTTTCAAAACAAGCAATTTTTTCCCCAAATACTTCCAATCCATATCGGCAGAGGAAGATTCCTCCCTGAAGTCACCGCATTTTGCAGCAGCAGCAGTCAAGGGTTTTGGAGCAAGACAGCCCTGAGTCCTCCTCGCAGCTCCCTAGCTTTTGTGTGCAGTACTTGGAACAAGTGATTTAATCACTCTGTGCCTCAGTTGAAAAACAGAACTAACTCCTCTGCTGCCTCATAAAGATTACCTCTGCCCAGCGTGGTGGCACGTGCCTATAATTCCAGCACACGGAACGATCATGAGTTCAAGGTCACCCTAGGCAAATTAGCAAGACTCTGCCTCAGCACAACAAACAGAAATGGTGAACACTGTAATGAGCACAAAGTGAATGCCCTCGAATTTTTAAATTTTGAATATTTTGGCAGTAGTGAGGTTCAAACCCAAGGCCTTCACACTGAGCTACATCCCAACTCTTTATTTTAAATTGCAATAAAAAGAGTTGGGATGTAGCTCAAACTTGTGAGCCTCCTGCCTCAGCCTCGCATGATGTTGAGATTACTCTTTGTCCAGTAATGTCACTGAGCTGGCACCAAGCAATCCCTCAAAGAGTACACTGCCATGGTGAGGAAGACTGGTCAGCTGCCCATTGGATGGACCCTGCTGTAGGCAGCTCCTTTCCCTACTCTGCCTCCTTAGTATCTCAGCAAAGTCAGGCTCCGGAGAAAGGCGGCTCTCCCTGGGATGTGCACATGTGTCCTCCCACTCCTCTGACCCCACAGAGGACACAGGGTCTGCCTCTCTCTCTAGACATAAACATCATTTGTCCCAACCTGAGCCTGGGTGGTTGTTCCCAAGGAGCACTTGGGAGGGGACTGCATAGGCGGCCTGTGAGTCCCTGCTGTGATCCAGAGGTACGTCCTGTTCTGCTGTTTCCATGGTACATCCAAAAACATCTGCCACAACATGTGACTGGGGCTGGCAGCTGGCAGCAGCGGGCTGTGCACGGACAAGGGCCTGGGCCAACTGGGCACTAGAAGGTGAGCTGGGGAGGGTGCCAGACCGAGCAAAGCCTGAATCTGGACAGGGATCTGAGAAACCTGCCCAATTCCCCTCTCCACACGTGTACAGGGGAGCACATACACGTGTACAAGGGAACACACACACATGCACACGTACACATGTACGTATACAAATACGTGCTCTACCGGGGAGATAGCCCAGGCAGAATTGCACTGGGAAGAGTTCCTGTTTCCTCATTTTCTTCTTGGAGGTCCCGAGATCGGATCCCCCAGAGCATAACCCTGGTGGAACTGGATCCTCTGAGCACAGCTCAGAGCCAGGCCCGCAGAAGAGCCCCAGGGCCCATTCCACTCCCTAAATGGAATTCGCTTTCCCAGTTGTTTTCCTGATGCTGTTTTTCCTGATTAGCAAGTAAAACGCAGTCATTGTAACAAGACCACACAAGCAGAAGACGGAGGAGGCCTGGAGCTGCTTACTTTTGTGGTCTGAGTCACCAGGGCCACCTGCTTCTCAGGAACAATCCACACCTCTGAGAGGAAGGTAGTCAGACATAATCCGGCCTGAGGGATAAAGAGAGCTCGCTAGCCAGCTAGAGTCAGGTAAAGAAAAGTCCTCCTCTGCGTAGGAACACATTTATAATCATTTGTTAGGCCTCAGACCCAAAGCAATCCCACAGAGCACAGTGACATCCTAAGGTTATACAATGTGCTATGCCTTGTGGTTCCCGCTCCCCTGTCCAGCTAGGTCCTGAACAGGGCAGGCAGCATTCCTGGTGGCTGTAGCCTACAGCCCAGTGAGACTAGAAAAGGAAGTGGTCTTTAGAGACCCTCCTGCCTTGGCCTGGGACTTGGTTTAAATTAAGAATTCACCTTTCGGGGCTGGGGATTTAGCTCAGTGGCATAAGCGCCTGCCTTGCAAGCAGGCAGTCGTGAGTTCAATCCCTGGTACCGATAAAAAGGAAAAAGACAAAAAAAAAAAAAAAAAGAATTCACCTTTCTCTTTTTTTTTTTTTTTTTTTTTTTTTGGTACCAGGGATCAAACTCATGACCGTGCACTTGCCAGGCAGGTGCTTATGCCACTGAGCTAAATCCCCGGCAAGAATTCATCTTTCATAAATTGATTAAAGCCCCTGAGGGAACACTGACCATCTAAGAGGGATAAGGAGACATTTACTAAGTAAAATGTCAATAAGCATGGTCTTCTCCTAGTTCCCTGAACTCCAGGGGTAACTTACGGGTACATAAAAAGGCTCCTAAGTTAAACTTGGTAAGGAGACCTTCGTGGCACCCCCTCTTCTTTCTTTAAAGTGTAACTCTCTCTATTACAGTAAGTTCTGCCCGAATGTCTGCTGGCCGCCTGTGTGGCTTGACTGAGTTCCTTCCCCACAAGGCACAAAGAACCAAGGATGAGAGGTAAGCTGCTGGCTGCAGCAGACCTGGCTTCCCAGTGACAC